GGCAATCAAGTAACAGACATTAAGTCCAATGACAACATAGGTCACATTCCTGAATTGCCGTTCAGGAAAAATGCGAAGATAAAAGCAACAGATCGAGATTTTCGTCAGGGGTAATATGCTGAGATAGATCAACTCATCCCAGAAATAAAGCTGTACTTGATCAGAACAACTCTGACTTTAAATATAGCCTGGAAAACTCACGTAAAGAATGTGGGTGATATTATCAAAAGGGAGTGTCCACATATCCCTGCCAAGGCCAGTGTCTGCCACTTTAGAAAGGTTAGCAAACAAATCATCACGACAAGTGAATAAACCAAAATCTTACAAACAGCTGAAAGTGCCGAGAGTGGGATGACGAGCGCCTGGAGATAGTAAGCCAAGATGTCGCATAAATATAAACACTAATGGTAGTGGAGTTAAGGCGCACCATTGTTAGAGCCATAGTCCAGTCATCCCAGCCAAAGGTACCACCACAGCATCTCAAACGGGCAACCATGCGAAGTATAAAAGCAACAAGAGCAATGATGCCACCTGCGACTCCAGCATAAGAAACAACTTTCGTTCGATCTCGTATGGGAGCGTCGCATGCCATGGTAGTGACATTTTTGGTAGCTTAAACATCAGCATCTTTGTCTTAAAATGACCAGTTAATTACTCACTCAAGGATTGCCGAATGGTGCAGCTAGCGACGACACAACTTTCTAGAGCCTCGGTGTATTTAACGTCCGTACACAGACATTTTTGATCGGTAGGTGCACATGAGGCTTCAGATAAAGAAGATTTCATGCACAGCAGCTTTTAAATGTCAGCTCCTCAAGTAACAACAGGGCTCAAGATCGTAAAGATGAATCCTTCTTACCGCACACGGTGGTAGACTGGCCATCAACTGCGCCGCGCTGGACGCGCTGGATGCGCTGGACGCGCTGGCAATCACAGTGACGGGCAGGATAGCCACAGCCAGGAGAATACCACCTAGAAAACGCATTTTAATGCTGAGGAGATAATATTCATTTGTGAAACAAGGCTGATGCGGAAAGCACGGCTTTGAAAAGGTAAGAACACTGAGGAAAGGAGACTAATCTTGCCTACGGTCACCCCTTAGTCAGAACAGGGGGTCTACGGAGTACTGAAGAAAACATTTATTCAGAGTCTTTACTAGTTCAAAAATTATGGCAAAATAGCCTGCAGCGATTTTCAACTGGAGATTAGTTCTCCGATCTTGCAGGCTAGGCGCATTCGAGCCATCTGCACGGGATTTCTTAGTGGTTTATCTCTGTCGATCGTTTCAAATTGCAGCAGAAATTATGGACTCGCAGTCTACAGCTGCGAGTCTAGGTGTTCAAATGGACGCACAGACAGCCTCACCGATGTCAACAAGTTACTAGGCTAAAATTCCGCTCGGTAGTTGGTTCATGAATCAATTACGATCTGCACTTCACAGATTGTATTCTTTCTGGTCCCTGTTCAGTTTCATGTGCCATGGAGTTTGCGGACATGTGCCGCTCCCAAATTACAAAAGAGGCAAAACATAAACCTAGTCGCGGCTCCACGAGTAAGCCAAAACTTTAATGAGCCGCGATCTGCACTCGGGATTTTTGACATTGCACTCCACTTTGAAAAAGGTACTTCCCGGGATACGAGACCCCCTACTCCGTACTGCGTAGTCGATCCCACCAAGCGCCACCAAGCTGGAACAAACCCAATAATTATACCAAGGCCGTTGGGCTCGAACCTTGAATCTCCGCTTACTTCTCCACAGACTGGGGTTTCAGATACCCTCCTTCCTCTCCGAGGCATGATCGCTTTGACAATGGCTCTTGTACCTTCTCTTCTCCAAAGGTCGAAAAGAGAGGATGATCAGCGCTGTCATACCGTTGATGTGCCGGCAAGGGTACCCTAGGGTAGTCCCGGAGTTCCCCCGGCTGGATCTAACTGTCAAAAAAAGGGGCTCATTATCCAGATTGGCAGGGGAGACAATTCACCTACAAGAATGAATTTAATTTTTATATCTTGCATCGCAATTGCCGTTTGACTCTTGCAGCCCTGGAGCACGATCCCCGCGAGGAAATTTCTTTAGCGCGAGATTTGATATTTTTCAGCCTAGAGAAGCAATTTGTTGCCGGCGTTGAGTGGGGCACCTTTTTACGCGAAATACCTGTAACGCGTGTGCATTATCTATTCCCATATGGATTGCTGGGGATTATGCATAATTTGGCCATGTGTTGGTTAGCATGTGGAAGAACATGTTCTTGAAGTCCATTCAGGGGTCGGCAATTAATAACCCGATGTTTAATTTACAGCCGGGCAAACTGTGATTTCGTATCTAAGCGGCTATTCCGCATTTTCTGGAATAATCCCCTATCACAACCTTTTCGCCGCAACCCCTTCTTAGTTGTGTTGAGAAACTGAGCAAGTGGGTATATTCATCATGAGGATTTTTACTCCTGGGCAGTTGCTTTGGCAATCATCACTCATTGCTGCTGTGTCCGGTTTTCCGGACCTTCATGGTGGTTCTGCCTCTCATCAAGGACTGCATAAGAAGTGTCCTTTTGCGGACATTCCGGAAAATGCAGCAATCAAACATGACAAGAGGTTCTTGTTCGATTCCATGAAGTCTCCCATCGACAGTAAGTGTGAGAAAAACCGGCAGCACGATCATACTTATAACTTGTGAAATTAGTTACTGGTGACCATGAGTTTCAACCGCCTAACTTTGAGAACGGCGACCAGCGTGGGCCATGCCCCGGGCTAAATGCGCTTGCAAACCATGCCTACATCCCTAGAAGTGGAGTAGTTTCAGTAAGTTTGATCCTTCTCAGCTGAGTGGGTTCATCCTTTGCTAAGTGCATTGAAGTTCGGAAATGTGATCACGGCAATCAATGAAGGTAAATGCGAAACCTTATGCGCGTGATAATTCAGCTGAAACTGACCTCAAATTGACAGTGTACGGCATGGGTGTTGATCTAGCTACTATTCTCGCGATCATGGGCACCGTTTGGACTGGAGACCCACTATCGCTGGATCCTAGCTTTTCAATTGGCGGTCGCGATACTGGAGTCAACAATTTGCTAAACAATCTTGGGGGCCTTCTCGGTATGCGTTGATTGAAATGGGACCTCTTGACAATGAAGCTTACCAAAATTATCTCTAGGTGATCCTCAAGGCTTGATTGGCTCTCACAACTTCATCGAAGCCGACTCCTCTAATACACGAGATGATCTTTATGTCACCGGCAACAGCCATACCCTCAATATGGACAAGTTTATGACCTGGTACAACATGTCTACAGACGGTACCTTCGACATGGATCTCATGGGGGAGCGTGCAAAGAATCGCTTCCATGAGACAATCCAGACAAACCCAAACTTTTACTACGGTCCCGTTACAGGACTTATTGCCCGGAACGCAGGTTACCTCTTCTCAGCCCGAATGTTCCGCAATCATTCCCGTGAAAATCCAGAAGGAGTTCTGAGTAAGTACATTCTTTCCGAGTTTGACCGTTCGGTGTCTTTGAAAGCTTCTAACTGTGCTCTAGCCAAGAGTCATGTCCGGAACTTCTATGCGATCTATGGCGAGGAGGGCAATTTTACATACCGTGAGGGGTGGGAGCGGATTCCTGAGAACTGGTACAAAACACCTATTGATTATGGTCTTGTTCAACTCAACCTGGACACAATCGCATGGATCGCCAAATACCCCGAACTTGGAAGGTAAAACACCCACTGAAGGCTTTTTATCCAGGCCGAAACTAATTTTGGCATTTTACAGCATTGGCGGCAATTTGGGCAAGGTCAACAGCTTTGCTGGTGTTGATCTTTCAGATTTGACTGGTGGTGTATTCAACCTGGCTAATCTCTTAGAGGGCAACAACTTGCTGTGCTTCGTTTTTGAAGTGTTGAAGTTTGCTAGCCCAAATGCACTGTCTGGGCTGTACAAGACGCTGGCAGAACCACTGGAGTTTGTCACCAATGTAGTTGCTGAGCCGTTGCTAAACTTGACATGCCCAGCATTCAAGGATCTTCAGATGGGTGGTAAGCCACTCTGGGAAGCACTTAAAGATGATTTTCCAGGTGCCATGAAGGGCGATGGCGCTTTCTAAGTATGGTATTATTGCTTTCGGGTACCTCCAGCTGCGAATAAAACATGTGAAACATTTCGCTTACAACCTGCCATATAGTACTATTTACAAATGAGTTTCTTTTACAAAAAAATACATAATACATATAATGGTTCAAGTTCTGAACTCTCCTTGATAGCCACCTCGGGAAATACAGCCCTGGAGATAAAGTGCTGTCAGGTTACTATTAAGATATCCATCTTCATGAATTCTAGTCGCAACAAGGTTACTCACACTAGTAGTATAGATATGAGGGGAGCTGCGACTATAATTCACAAGGGCCCGCCACAATGAGATTATGCTGGTGAGGCCCAAAAGGGCCCGGGTATAATAGACACCTGCCAGTGGACATCTCATAGCGGATCACTGGAGGAAGATGGAACCTTGGAACTTGAAAGACTCTTCCACGATATAGAACTTGAAAGCGATTCGGAGCTGATTCAAGTTGTAGGTAACTTGAAGCAGGATCTAGTACCTAGGTAGTAGTAGGTAGTAGTAGCTATTAGGATGAGTGTCGTGAATAAATATATTTGTGATGAAGCCCTTCGGCCCCGAGGCCTTGGTAGAGGCCAGTTAGTAGCCGGCGAAACAGTATACTGCTGACAGTGAAAGCGACGCGTCAAAGCGCGCAAAACCCAGTGTAGGCGTAGATCTGAACATTCAGATGAAAAAGGAGGATTAATAACCGAGAATGAATGGCATGGACGAGTAGTAATGTTCAAGTGTGATGTCGCACACTCCGAGCCTTAGACATTCAGGCATCAAGGCCGCCGTATCATCCATCCAGCTTCACTCTAGGGTCTTCTCTCCTCCGAGTCACATGTCACCATATTTTCATCCTTTTCATCCATCCATCATCCACTAGGCAAATCATTCTCCCAGTTCAAGGTCCCCTCATTTGAATCTCTATTTTCGACATCACTAAATCGTCCTCGACGGATTGTTCCCATGCGTATGCGGCTCGCAAGATCGTCAATTCATCGTGCCACTTGCCCACAATTTGCATGCTAGCTGGCAACATAATTTTCGGATCCTCCTGCGAAGGGACAAATCCTATTGGCACTGCAAGTGCTGGATGCCCCGTAGCATTGAAGGCACATGTGTTGTCTATCAATCCCTGTGCCGCTCCAAGTTGAGCAATTGGTGCTGCGTCTGGACTAGGCAGTTGGCTTGCGCATGATAGGGTGGTGGGCATCACTATCACATCAACAGAAGAGAATGCCTCGTCATATTTGTCCTTCAGCTTGCGCAATATGTTGACAGTCTTTGGATAAACGGTTGAGTGATGTTTCCAGGCAAACTCGCCACTGAGAAGACCCTCTTTACACATCACACTCATCTGAATGAATTTTAGTGATGACCGACTAAAACGGATTCGGCATTACTCTCCAGATGCAGAACTTACTTTGCTCACGGCTTCAGGTGTATAAGGGAGGCCTTTCTTTTCAAAGAGGTCCGTCAACATCACCTGTCGTCGACCTGTTGCCTGGCCCATCATTCCCATATGATTTCCCATCTTGCTGAGTATACTATACAATTTTTGCGCATCCGAGTGCAGAGGGATGCTAATATCCTGTACCTTAGCTCCTGATTTCTCAAAGGTATTAACAGCATCTCTGAACTTCGACAAAACATCCGGATTTATCTTGTTCGGCATGCCTTCTTTCAACACCCCGATTCGCAGGCCTTGGAGAGCAAAATCCCCCTGTTTCAGCAAATTTGAATAACGAGGAACGTCTCCTGGAGGCTGAATTCCAGGCCCCGACCGATCATCCAAACCATCTGCCCCAGCAATAGCTTCCAACAAGAGCGCAGTATCGAAAACCGTATTTGCGATCGGCCCAGCATAATCCAAGCTAGCATCATTGCTCGCGATACCAGTATACGGCACTAGCCCTGTTGTCGGCTTAAATCCATACAGTCCTGTCAACGCAGCTGGAATCCGTATACTACCGCCTTGATCGCATCCAATGCCCAAGTCTGCTGCGCCGCTTGCCACAATGGCTGCTGTGCCTGAACTGCTGCCACCGACTGAATATCCCCGCGCATATGGATTGTGCACTGGCCCTGTCGCAGCGGTCGCGCTGACTGCCCCACGCGATAAATTCTCACACACGGCTTTGCCAGTGATTACCCCGCCAGCATCGATGATGCGCGATACGACGGTTGCGTCGGTATGTGGGACCCAGTCGCGAAATGTGTCTGTGCCGAGTAAACATGGCACGCCCGCGACGCAGATATTATCTTTCAAACAGACTGTTTTTCCATTTAAAATTTGAGAAGTTGGAGAATCGGATGAAAGCTCGAATCGCCAGGCCCATGCTCCCAGAGGGTTGTCTTCTTGTTTTGGGAAGTGGATATTCTGCCGGGGATTCTTGGTCGTGTCGGGTTCAGGCTGGTAGTCTGATGAGTTAACTGTCAGTCAAATGCGAGAATGCGGAGGAGACTTCGGTCTGACCTTCCATCGCTTCGATAGATTCTATTGTTTCCTCTGTGCGTAGCAGAAAAGCTTCATAGTCTGCTATCTCATCCTCGGGAATATCCATGGATAGCTTTTGTGCTAGCGAGAGCATTTCTGCCTGGGTCGCCATGATTAGAGCTGAAGGGTGGCCCTTTGGTATATTTCAAATTATCTCAGGACTTTTCTTGCTTGAATTTCGTGCTCCGTTGCTTCTTTTATACAGGATCTTCGTGGAGATTCGGTACCGGCCGATAGTTAAGTGGGAACCGTGGAATTGTTTTTGGTTATATACCCCCGCACCAATCTGCGAATTCGGCTGGGGCAACGATGCTCCGAGTCGGCTCAGATGTTGACTCGCCGATGACTCCAACTTTGGGGTAAGGCGGGGTCTGCGGGAATCAAATTACCAAGCTTACTCGCGCAAATTACCGATACAAAAAACATAATGACAGAAGCCTACCTATTTAGGTCATAGAACAGATAATACTAGCGAATCAAATGAAAAGATAAAATTGAACAAAGCTGTTGAAGGTAGTAGCCATCGAAACAAGAACCGAAGCTATCTACCAAAGGACTAGTACAACCGACGAAACAAGAAATGTGAGATAACCCAGCGGTATGCAGAAAAATTCATAAATTTGGAATAATACAAACCTACTAATGCAAACTAAATCCCTAAAAACAGCAAGATCAGAGAGAACAGTCAAAAATTGGCAGCTCATCCCCTCGTCCGCACATAAACCCAAGTATAATATCCCAAAGTCCCAACCACACCAATGAGCGACATGAATGTGAGCGATACTCCAGTAATGATACCCTGCTCAAAATAGCCAATCTTGAAACCGGCCCTTTGCTTCGTCGAAGGAAGTGGGGAAATAGCTTCGCGCCAAAGGGCATCTGATTTGAGCGTGGCATTGTTTTCTAGAATCGTTCTGGTGGTGTATGCGCTGACTGGAGCGTTTATTAGTTGTGGGCGTGGTTTTTGGAAGGAGGTCGGTGAATAGCGTGTTTGGGGACTGTAGGGTGTGCCGCGTGGGAGGGCAGGGCCGACTTAAATTGTTTGTCAGTATGATATTTCTTCTAGCATTTGGAGGGAGATTGTTGGAGGGGCTATGAAACGCACTTAGCATGTGGCTGGGAACGTGATTGACCCAAGAGATATCAGCATCAATAAATTGTGTAAGATATTTTGCTGAAGCTGGGGCTGCGAAGGCATAGGTTGCTGCGAGCGTTTCTGATCTGTTTCGTGTTAGTATAGTTTTCGATCTGCTTTCTTTCAAGGTAGAAACATACGCATTGATGTCGATGGCATCATCGAGACTGGTCACAGGGTGCACCAGTAAAACTTTCTCACCGACCTTCTTCTTGAGCAAGGGTGATTTCCTGGTTGGTCAGCTTTTTAGATATTTCTATCCCAGTACCACATTTATCTCTTACCGATCTTGAACCTCAACCACGCCCCAATTACTACCAGACACAAGAATCCGTGCAGTGCGCTCTTTGTGAATAGAGTCTAAGAGCCCCGATCGTCGCGGTGGTGATTGCTGCTGTCTAGCCTCGCCGTTTTCACCTGCAAGGTAGCGGGAGGCATGTTGGATGACAGCCTCGACGAATGGCTTCATGGCAAACTCGTTCACAAGAACCACATCCGGAGCGTACGCCGAACGTCCACCGAATGCAAACCGCGCAGCCACCAATGCTTCGGCAGCTTCGTTGATTTTGGCAGTGCGGTCAACAACAGCCACCGTTCTGGATAATGCGGGGGAAATCATCCCATTCGGCGCATCGGATGGGATCTGTGCAACAAGCAAGGCTTTGTTCACGAATGACGAATCCGGTCTCTGCGAGACAATTGTAAAGGTGTCGTGATCAAGCGCATCTGGAAGGAGCTTTCGTAAAAGACCAGGAAGAGTCATTGTAGTTTGCGGTAACTTTTAAAGTAAGTATTCAGCCCATTAAGATAGTATTGATGTCGATCTGGTCAACTCACCTCCAGTACGATACAATTTCCGGCCGCCAGCGCGGCTGTCAAAGCCGAAATCACCGAATAAAAAAGTGTATGCGTCGTCGGGGTGATGTACACAATACCCACTCCACGGGAGGCATCGGCGCTATCCTTTCCATTCTTGATGCGATATTCAGCTTCAAGATCCTTGCTCAGACTGAGTGAGACATAATGCGCCCGCAGCTCTTGCAAGGCCAGGACGACCTCTGCGCGCACCTCCTGGCGCGTATGACCCGAGTCTCAGGCGAATAGCATCTTGGATCTCAGCGATATTTTCAACCAATGTAGATTGTAGACGATGGAACTGTGATTGACGATACCGCGTGTTTGCTGCGCGGCCGTCGATGTTGCCGGCGACGATGCGCGGAAGGTCCATGTTGGAATAAGCTGGAAATGCAAAGTAGAACAGAATGGAAAATTAAAACGAGGAAGAAAAAAAGAAAAGGGATTTCAATAAAGAGAGAAACTGAAGCTAAAGAAGAGGATCCAATTTACCCCGATACTTTAGCTCCGCCCGCAGCCATCGCCTCGGAGCTCTCATCCTCATCCAACTTCCATTCGGGATGTGGGGGGAGAAAGGGGGCGCGTGGGGGGATTACGCTACAATCAGCTTTAATGATCTGTCAGCGGAGACAATAGTTACCCCGGGGTGCGACGGATAATAATTTTACATCAGGTCTTCTCTAGGAGACCCCTACTTTCGCAAGTTCATCCGTTCTCACAATACCTTCTGCTTTGAGTCTATTCATCATGTCGACGACAACCACCACCACAACCACTGCAAGCACGCTCGCCGTCTTGGCCGATTATGAAGTGCATCATAGCGGATCTCACCAGCCTGACCAACAAACCGAGACAGTAATTTCCTCTCAACCGGCCGACTGGCCAACAGATCACCGTCGCGTCCCTGCATATCGTCCTGTGCAACCGAATCTGAGCTATACCGAACGTCCAGCGGGAAACGGCCACCCTGCGGAATATGCTTTCATTCAAATCATGCTCCACGGCGTCTGGCTGAATGCGGTAAGCAATGTTCTTGTCCGAAGTCAGAGGTTTACATTCTGATTGAGATAGTCTGTCGCGCGACTCTGGCGCTTTACTGGGGGGAGAATGAACGATAAAATATTCCATTACGATGTGGGGCGGGAGTGGTAGACAGCCAACAAGCGGGGTGCTACTTGTTGAATGGAGTTCAATTTATTATTTGTTTTGTCTCGGGTTACATGCGAAGTCATCTGTATCTTTCAAGTTTTCTTATTCCTTATTTTTTTATATTATTTCAGCCTTTTTTACAATATCATTTCAATGGATTCATTTCGTCTACAGTATTTCCGAAAAACGGTGTCACCACCTGCACTCTTTCATCTTACCAAGAAACACTTAACTACTCCTGGATGTCGCCGTATCAGTCTCATTGGTTTTGGTGGTGTATCGTAAATTACCGGGTTATTAGAATAGCGGGGAGTCTGTTATAACCTGTCAGATCTAGGAGATGTTGGTCTAATTACGCTGGTGAAGAGTCTAAGGCATTCTCCCAACGGATAAACCCCTTTGATTCACTTGTGATGAATTAGCAACTGAGGCTGTACGATGTGCCATGAGTGGCTATCAGCAGCTCATATATTTCCTTCTCTCTTCTTTAATATACATAGCAACGGCATTTTCTCCCACAAAAGAAAAGACCGTTGCTTCTCCCACCCTTTGCTCTCTGTACAAAGCTCAATGTCAAAGTTCCACAGCATGCGCGCCAGAATCATACGCATCTCAGCATTTGCCAGGTTTCGCCCGATGCAGTTGCGAGGGCCAATCGAGAACGGCTGAAGTACGTCGCGGTTGTCGTTGTAAAAGGGCGACGAGGCATCTTCTTTGGCGAGCGGTAACCAGCGCTCTGGGAGAAATTCTTCGGGGCGGTGGAAGTTGAGGGGGGAACGGTACGCAGCGGATTGGTGAACAGATACTTTTGTCTGGTTTTATGGAACACGTCAGGTTAGTGTTCGATTCTTCTTGTTTCTTCATGAACAAAGTAGCGGGAAGCATACTCCAGGAGGGATCTTGTATCCTGAGATATTAATTGAATCTGGGGGTATTGTTATGCGTTCGAGTCCCCCCGGCGCGGGCGGGTAAATTCGCAGGGCCTCATTTAGGCAGGCAAGCATGTATGGTAGCTGAGAGGTCGTCTGAAAGGTTATGTCTGAATCGGACGTTATGGAGGAGCGCACCTCGTCGGAGACCTTGCGAAGGGCGTCGGGCGTTCGCAGCAGCCAGTAGGTGACCCCCGACAGCAGGGTGGCGGTGGTTTCACTGCCGGCGATGATCAAGATATTGGCGTTAGCTTCCATCTCTTTGTCGGTGAGCTCCTTTTCTTTGTCGCCACGATAGCGCAACATGCTGTCCATGAAGTCGACGGGGCCGCGATGGAGGGTGCTTCGGAGGCGCTTCCGGACGGTAAGATTGCTATATTCGATCTGTCGCTCGCGGTTCTCCATAAGTGACCTTGGGACAAGGAAGAGTGATAGCGCATGAAAAAGGAGAGAGGAAGGCATCGCGCAGCTTGACAAAAGCCATGCCTCGGACTGCCTGGAAGATGGTTGCCACCCACGGGTGGTATTCAAGCGAGTCCAGCCCTCCAAATGGTTCCCCGAAGGCGAGGTCTCCGATAAGGTCAAATGTAGTCAGGTTGTACCACTTGACTATGTTGACTACCGGATTGGGCGATGCAGCGATCTCCTCCAACCGCTGGATCAGCTTATCCACGTAGCCGCGGAGAATTGGCTCCTGGACCTGCAAGCCCTTGGCAGAGAAGGCGTGCGACAGGGCTCGGCGGAAGCGGCTGTGGTCAGCATTGTTGGCGCTGATGATGTCTGACGGATTACTTGTTGAGTGGAGAACTTTAGGGAGTTGCCGCTCGCCGTGACCATGTGTGTAGATGTCCCTCCATGCTTGAGCAGTGATGAAGGAGACTTCCTCAGGACCAAATCGGACAGCCTCGCCGTATTTATTGTGGAAAGATCGAAGGTCAATATCCAGCCGTCCTCTAACCAGGGAGACATAGCGAAAGATGGGAAAAGCAATCCACAGATTGGGTCCAGGTAGATCGCGAAGTGGGTGAAAGTACAATCTCCGAGTGAGCGACAGGCAGGGCCAGAGGAGACAGAAGACTACTGATATCGCGAGCACATAGAACATGGCGATGGTGGCCTCGAGTTTGGGCTGTCGGGTTTTGAGCGAGCAAGACACAAGACCCGCTGGACAGGGTAGAGTATCGAATTTAAATAACAACAGGCGAGACCCCCAGTTTAGGGTCGCTAAATCGGCAAGTTTTACGATCGGATCCGCGGCAAAAAGGTATTCTCTTTTTACCATCGGCTCCGCTGCGTCAGTTCTAGGCCTGTCATGTGCTAAAATCAGAGGTCCAGCATTCGGAGAGAATATGTCGGCATTCGATCGGTGCCACGCCCTATGGCATCGGTGCGCCAGGCTCGTGGCTATTATACCCGCTATTAACAAACTGTTTTAGTACAAGGTCTATTTCACCAGTATATGGCGTTTTAATTAATATTATCCTTATTTGGTTGCGATTATATATACTAGTATTTTAAATGGATGGCTAGATGTGGAATAGTTATACGATTTCCAAGTGTGCATAGCACGTTGAATAGACACGTTGTGTAGTATAAAACGCGCAACGCATTTTACCAGAAAGGCCACCCCGTCACTATCGCCACAATAATGCCCTTGCGGTTGGTGAATCGCCAAACTCATGGTCTATATAATCTCTGCTATATGCACGATCCCATAGAAGTGCTGATTTCGAAAGCCGAAACTGGGATCCAATTCCCACCAGCCTGGTACATCACAAATGCAGCCACAAGTCGAGAAGGCACCGAAGCAGCCATTATGTCGCTATTTCGTTGAGAGGCCGAAATCAGATAGTATGTTCCCAAAGCAAAGGAAGTTAGACTGTGAAATTGGTGCTATTAGGAATAAAATACTAATACGACCTAATTTAGAGACATACCCAATACACCGAACCACGCTGTTGGGAGCTCCTCTGAGCGAAGAGTCTGGAAGATTTGCTACGGAGGGATAGAGGATGGTGTAGAAAGCATTCCCTAACAGGAAAACACCTTGGGCAGCGAACACCGCTCTTGAAGCACCACCCCTACGCAGACCGATGTTGCTTAGAGTCATGGTTCTAACTATTATTTCCAGTGACAATGAAATTGATATGGGGACCTTCTTATCCGCGATTCATCACGCTGATGCCCTTCGGTTCCGATGCGTGGCGGCTCCGGCGCTTGGCTCTGGATGGTCGGATCCGCAGCTGGAAGTGTTTAGATCGTGCACATCTCTGCAGAATGTTTGAGCACGAATACGTATTTACCGTACATTCATGAATCATGTGGTATGTAATTTGGCTTTGTACGGAAATGTAACCACAAAAAAGCGGAAAATTGATATCCCGACTGTTATACTAATAAGGGCTGAGAAACAATTCAAGAGTGTAGGTGGTGACACTATTTTTCGGAAATACTGTATGAGAAAAAATACAAACATAGTATTTAGTCCCTCTATTTGAGAGAAGCAATAACCTTAGGATAATCCAGATGCCACTCCTCGACAGCAAAATCCAAACTTAAATCAAGTACTAGCCCTAACACCAATACCATCAACAACCTCCCCAAGGTCCAACCCACCAATCTTCATCGGCTGCGCCGGCGAAAGAACATACAACATCCTCCCCCACTGAGGAACTCTCTCCCCATCAACAACGATATCAGGCGTAACATTTCTCCAAGCATGATTAGTGCCCCTCTGCACAGCAACATCACCACGCTTAAGCAGTCTCGTCTCGCCAGAATCCAGCACAAGCTCAACCTCCCCCTCCAACACGACGCCATAGTCTAACGAGACGGTCCGGTGCATCGGGCTCAGGGCTCCGGGCGGCATGTCCACGATTCGACACACGTTGCCGGTGGAAATTGTAATTCCCGGAGGAGTTGTTAGGTAGGTGTTGTATTCGCTGATGTCGGTGTTTTTGTCTAGTTGGGCGGGGAAGTGGGAGGATGTGTAGGCTAGACTGAAGTCTGCGCCGTCGGCGATTGATTGTACTGGCATTTTTTCTGAGAGGTCTTTTGAGAAGATTGCTTTGCCGGTTTCATCGTGGGTTGTGATGAAGCGGTTTAGTGGGCGGACGTTTTTGGGGGTGCGGTTTGTCATGGTGTCGGTGGATTCAAGTTCAAGTTGTGGCTCAGGTGCTTTGGTGTAAGCGAGGGTCAGGCTTGATGGTATTAAAAGTGGTGATAACTTCAATGCCCAGGTGATGAGAGGGTTTACATCTCTACTCGTTGTACATCTATATCCTTGACCCCTCATCTCGGGACCACTTTCGACCACATCGGGTACTATGGAGTCATGGGTGTCGGAGATAGGAAGCCCGGATCTTCAAACCTCGGAGTTATCATGCAGGGTCGCATAATTATGGAGCACCGCGCCGAGCTTTGTGGGGTCGAGCCGAGTGGACAAGGGTGACTTTTACGCGTTTGCTTTCTACCAGTCCCAGTAGCAGGGGTAGGGGTAGTTTTCGTGGTACGGAGTACAACTTGCCAAACTCAAGTTCAAGTTCAACTTTTTTTTATAGACAGTACCACTTTTATTAAATCTGAAAACCGGCCAAAGCGATAGAATACGATAGACTAGCACAATCTTAAACAAAAAATACCAAAATCCGTTGAATCTATGAACTCGTTTCTATAGCTAACATCTCCCCTAGGGTACATCTCCCCCCCCCCCTCCCCTCACGAAATAATAGGAAGAGTAACATGATTCTCCCCAATCCCAAAATGAACATGATTCATCCCATCAAACCGCTCAACCGACCGATCAACCACGGAATTATGCAAAAAGATACCCGACCCCTGCGTATCACCACTAGAAACCTCCAAAACAATCCGTCCCCCTTTCTCAACAACAACATTCGTAGGCCAAACCTCCACATCAACCGGATAAACCTCGCCCGGCAAAACAGGCAAAACATCACTAGAACAATAATCGCGGTGTGGCAAATATTCCCGATGGCGGGCATGTTTCTCATTCACCCTCCTCATACTCACGCGTAACCAACCCTTGCAAAGAGGTACGGGGTCACCAGCTGTGCCGGTATAAAAGACTTCCTTTCCAGCTGGTGAAATGTGGCGCAGTGTCACGAAGAGATCTAGATCTTGCGGTGTGGTGGAGCCGGGGTTTGCACTCATTGATACGTTAAGGTGTGTGACGATGTGGCCTGTGATTTCAGTTTCTTTTTCGAAAGGTGCGGTCTTGAATTGGATGAGAGAGGGATTCTCGATCGTGCCCAGAGCCGCGTAGGAGATTTTGGTGCTCTTTTTCTCGATTGATGCGTGGGTGCTCAGCTCGTTGGTTGATGTTAGGTAGAATTTCGTATACTGGGTTCTCGCAATTGGCCACTCGTGCTCGATGCGTCGGGGGAATGTCTTCTCTGCTTCTGCGTTGTTGAATCCTACATCCCCTTTGCGGAGGAGGATGTCGACTTTGGGTGCTTTGCCTGTTGACCAGCCGGCGCGGTCGTCGTCTTTCAAGAATGCGTCGAGGAAACTGCGTTGGATCTCGACTTCTTCTGAGTAGTAGAAGGGGAGATCGTGGCGGCCGGCGATGAAGCGGAGGTATTTTAGTTCCGAGCCTGCTTGTGTCCATCCTTCGACGTTACCGCGGAGGTGGAGGAGGATTCCGCCCCAATTTGCGACTGATAGAAGCGGGACTTGGATATCCGACATGCTATACTCCTTAGAGGCATAGTACAGATCGTCGCGGAATTTGTTCTCCGCGTTATCGATCGTCTGGTCTTGACGGTTTTGAATGAGTTCTTCTTCAGACAGATCGCCCTCGATTGTATCGGGGCCCCAGTTTCGCGCTGCTCGGCGGGGAGTCCGTACTGGTTACTCACGACCTGGCGATCCCACCAGAACTTGATGAATGAGTTGGCCAGGATTCCACCGTGTCGGCATCGATCGCGGTAATAGTCCGACATGCCTTCCCAGGGAATGATACAAGAGAGTCCTTTCGGTTGTCGCGCTGCAACACGCCATTGGCTACCGGCGTAGTAACTGATTCCCAGTAGACCGACCTTTCCAGAAGACCAAGGCTGCTCGGCAGCCCATTCCACCACGTCAAAGAAGGCTTCGCTCGTGCCTCGGGACATGGTGTCGAGCTTGCCGACCGACTGTCCGGTACCACGCTCATCGGCACGCACGACTGCATAGCCCTGGCTGGTCCAGTACTTTGGGTCGGGGGTTTCCCAGGACGAATGCTCGGAGCGTTGCTCGGGGTTGACCTCGCTGTAGCTCTGGGGGTGGAAGTCCTTGTAAGGGATATCCTTTCCATAAGGTCCATATGTTACTAGGACGGGGACCTTTTCTGAGCCCTTGGGACGGTAGACATTAACGCGGACGAGGCCTGATTCGTCTTTCAGGGAAATTGAAACATTCTGCTCGTAGATGTAGGGCAAGGACGATTCGTCGCGGGTGGTGATATCTTTGATTTCGTTCGGCATTTTGTGTACCTATTGAATTTGAAAAATTAAGCAAATAGGAGAAGAGATGAATTGATCGAGAAAAATATCCTGTCTCATATACAAAAAAAAAGATGAACTTATGGACATACGTACCTGCTCGCCCCCGCTCGGGGACGTCTGCGACTCCCCGCATGTGGAGCCGAAATGGCATCCGAAGCATCTCCAGACATTATAGCGACCGCGAACCCGAAGGATAGAGAGGGGGGAGAGGGGCACGCGGAACGACGGAAAAGTAGAAGAGGTCAAGGGTGAAATATTCATGCATAAATAATCTTTTTTCTCCTCCGGTGTGGGCAAGCGTCAAATTCCTCCCACCTAGTACGAGTAGATCGAAATGGCCGAACGAACCGAAAACTCTGGACTGCGCGTGCTAATTGTCGGTGCTGGCATCGGTGGGTTGACAGCGGCGGTTGCGCTGCGACAGCAAGGACATAATGTCGAGGTTTGTTGTTTTAATTTCTTACAGATGCCAGTGGTTGCCATTGGTGCAGGTGCAATAAGTATATGTAGCTACGCGATACTGATTGCATATCTCAGATCTTCGAGCGTTCCCGCTTTGCCAATGAAATTGGTGCTGCGATTCACCTTTGCCCGAACGCCAATGGTGTTCTCCTTCGACTGGGCATTGATGCTTTAAAATTCGGCGGAGTAGAGACTGAGCTGGTAAGCCAAGTCATCCTTGCTGGAAGAAGGGACCCCACGTTGACCACTGGTATATAGCTTCGTGAATATACCCCAGCTGGCGAGGCGGTCCACATCACAAATGTGAAACAGCAAGCGGGTTTCTGGAGACACGTAGGTCCATCAATTATTTATTCCTTCGCTCAGATCTAAACTGACGCTGTGCAGAGCTGGCTTCTAGTTCATCGCGCACAATTCCATGAAGGCCTTAAAGCAGCAGCCCAGGCCCCAGGCCCAGGCAATCCAGCTATCCTACACACCGCAAGCAAAGTCATTGATGTTGACCCACACAAAGCAACAGTCACCCTTGAAAATGGCGAGGTGCACACGGGAGACGTGGTCATCGGAGCAGATGGTGTACACTCACTCACAAGAACCAAGCTGACCCAGGCAAAGGGCATTAAGCCGGCTAGCTCGGGCAAGAATGCGTTCCGGTTCTTGATGACTCGTCAGCAGGCGCTTGATGACCCCGAGACAAACAGTATTGCACGAGACATGGGCGCAGTTGACATGTGGGATGGAGCGGATCGACGTGTTGTCATTTATCCATGTGCGAACAACGAGCTGCTCAACTTTGTCTGTATTCACCCAGACTCCTTGACGGCGATTGAGACCGGCGGTGATGAGTATAATCAGCAGATTAGTAAGAAAGCTCTTCTGGAGGTGTACAAGGATTTCAGCCCACAAGTTCTGCGTTTGTTGGAGAAGGCGGATCCAGCTACGCTGAAGTTGTGGCCACTGCTGGATATGCCCACCTTACCTGAGTGGGTGGAAGATCGATTGGCCGGCATAGGTGATGCGGTTCATCCTTTCTTGCCATATCGTGCATCAGGCGGTGCGATGGCCATTGAAGATGCGGTGTCGCTGAGTGTGATGTTGCCTCGTGGTATCGCGGCTGCCGATGTGCCCGAAAGACTGAAGGTTTACCAAAAAGCTCGCCACGAACGTGTGACCACCATCCAAGAAATGACGCGCCAGTCGGTCAATTTGTTACCCGTCGATAAAAGTAAGTATTCCATCATTTCCCATCTAGATGATATCTGCTGACTCAATAGCCATCGTGATGGTCGGCTACATTAACGGGCATGACGAATTTGATCATTCCGCCCAGGTCTTGCGCAAGTATCTCTGGTCTAAGAACCCACATATGTATTGGCGCCAGCCAATCGTCTTTGGCCCCATGCCTGGCCCTCGACAGGACTGGTATGGCAATGACCGCGCGACTAAATCCTTGGAGGCAACCTTCCAGACAGCCTCGATCAAATTCAAGACCAGTCGCACGCTTCTACAAAATCTCTTCCCGAATGACCGGTACAGCTTCATCACGCCCAGCACAGTTGCACGTGCGAGTTTCTCGCAGACTACACTGAATGGCATGGACTGGCTGGGTGGTGGTGGATACCGACACATCGGACTGTATATTCATGGTGTGCAGTACAAGAAGGAGAATGGCGAGGTGCTCAAGGGGACGTATATGCCTATTCTATTCGAGAGTCTGGCAGATCCCATCGTGTCGGGTCGTGAGGAGCTCGGCATGCCGAAGCTATACACAGCGATTGATATCCACGAGCGGAATAGCTCCTATCGTCTGCAAACCAGCTGGCAGGGTGCTGTTTGGGGCCACTTCGAGCTTGAGGATCTGCAAGACCAGGATACGGGTGCGGACAAAGGTACGATTGGAGGGGAAGACGATGACGGGATCTTGGTATATCGGTATATGCCTAAGGTTGGCCGAGACACCAAGGGTGAGGCGGCAGAGGAATATCCAGTCTTTGTTCCGCATGCGCAGGAGTCCAAAGTCGTGCCATCCAAGGTCACCCGGGTGCGCCGGAGCAAGAGCGCCAAGGTGAACATCGATGGGCTAAATTGGGATGCACTGCCCACGCTGCACCATGTTGTGTCTCGACTTGCGGAGATCCCTATCGATGAGGTGATTGAAGCGAAAATCACCGAGGGGTTGGGGGTGCCGGATGTGTCGAGCGCACAGCGCATTGAGTAGTTTTGTTGTAGCAGTGCATAATTCACTATGATAGAAGATGTATTTCACTTATTCCGATGGGACATGCCTCGCGTTAATGCCATTGTTAGTGTTAGTGTCAGCGTTAGTGTTAGCATTCAATAAGACCATCCATCCCTGCGTGATGGTATGTCAAAATGCTTGGTTCTCGTCCTTTTGTAAGCTATAACTCTTGGCATAGCCGTTTCTTCTGACGCTTCTCCTCAATAGGGTCAACTAGTGCTTTCCGAAAACGAGGTCATGGCTACATTGGGTGAACTGCAGCACAACCATGTTGGCATTTCAGCAGGTGGATGCTTTCGGTCTACGCCAGCAAAGCAGTTGAATAAGCGGAGTACTTGAGTCCGACCTAGGTGTGGGCATCGACGTCCGCATGAGGCAGCAGGGATGGACTGTAGGGACTCGCTCGACTCGCATGTGAATAACAATCTCATGTGCCGTACGAGTCTCCAGTAATAGCCTCCGTCTGAGTGTATGATGAGATTGGTTTGTCCAGGAAAATTCAGCCGCATCCCCCCGCATGTAGTCGGCGATGGGCCGATGATCGAGGGGTATCTCAGCCACGCAGCCACGCCGCCACGCAGTCATCCCGCCACGAGGGACCGTTGTGAGGCTGTCGACGCATCTCGTCGATCCGTGCGGGAAAGGCCGTAGATGATCCGATCCACACGGTCAGCATTGAGCGATGAATGGGCCCATTCAAGAGGGGGGCAGTGGTGTGTAGGCTCAGTGCGGGGTGTTATTGCCAGCTATCAGTGGTCACCCCTCCCGATAGTCCTCGTTGATCATCTGTGCTGCGGAGCTGTTGCGAGTGCAAGCGAGTACGGAGTACATATCAAGTGGGTATCAAGTAAACTAGTTAGTATCCAAGAAACCGGTTGAAGTGGCCAGCCAGGCATAGGCAGCAAGTCAGACAATCCTGAGCTCTATTCAGAGTGGGGAATTGGATTCTCCTGTGGCGTATGAAAGTTGTTCATTGTGTGTGTGCACTCGTACAAATGACCGAGGGGGTCATCTTGGTGGTTGCACTAGTGTGATAAGCCGGCGAACCTTGGTGAAACCGGAGGATCCACGGCTGCCTTGGGGGCTGCAGGTGAGTCTAGAACTAGTAATCTCGGGATAGTAGTGTAGGTAGTGTAGGGTAGTGGTTGGTGCTAGTGTAGGAACGAGGTGGGTAGGAGAGATGGAAAAGAGAAGAAGAAGAGGAAGAGGAAGTCATATGTTGAGTTGTTGTTGACGGAAGTCACGAAGTGGAGGAAGTAGGAAGTAGGAAGTAGGAAGTAGGAAGTAGGAAGTAGGAAGTAAGGAAGGTGCGGGTGGCAGTTTGGGGTTGGGGTTATCCGCACCTTCCTTGCTTGGGGTCTTCCTTCTTCCATCGCCTTCACTTTGTTACTCTCGTCGCTCTTTCTTATTAAGCACACATCTTCCTCGCATCCTCTCATCCTCTCATCCTCCCTCCTACACTTACCCTCCTTGATATATCTCCCCCCACCCCCCTCCCCCCCTCTCCCTCCTTCTTCCCCTCGGTTGATCTCTTCCCCTCCATTCCACCACTCCTCCCCGCACCGAGAGGGATACCAACAATACACACCATGTACGTCCCCGAGCCTCATAGCTACCAGCTATCAGCTATGAGCTACCAGCTACCACCTTCCACTCCATTCACAGCTTGCTAACCTCTACCCAGGCGGATCACCGTAAGCGTTATCCGCCCTGAGCAGGCCGACTCCGACATCATCACCCTGGAAGTCGGAGGTGACATGTCCATCGAGCTTCTCAAAGCCATCGTCGAAAGCGAAACCGCCATTCCCCCCGAAGCTCAACAACTCGTCTATAACAACCAGCTCCTTCAAAGCCCCTCGCAAACCCTCGACTCCATCGGCATCGGCGAGGGCGATATGCTCGGCGTCCACGTCACCCTCCGCGGCGCAGGTCCCAGTGCGGGTCGCCCTTCTCAGCCTCCCACAGCTCCCTCCGCCGGTCCCGGTTCCTCCATGGCCCCGCGCCAGGCACCACCGCGACCCGGCATGCCTGACCCGGAGACCATCCGACTCCATATCCTCGGTGACCCACGTGTGCGCGAAGCGGTCCGAAGACAGAACCCAGACCTCGCCGCCGCCGCAGATAACGCGGCGCGTTTCCGGGAGGTCCTTCTCTCGCAGCAGCAAAATGAGGCTCGACAAGAGGCAGAGAAAGAGGCGAGGATTGCAATGTTGAACTCAGATCCATTCAATCCAGAAAATCAGCGAGAGATTGAGGAAATTATTCGCCAGAACGCTGTGACGGAGAACTTGCATAATGCCATGGAGCACCACCCAGAATGTATGTCATCCAATCTCTATCTAACCCTCAAACTCCCCTCCCCCGACCCTTATTGCGTTATCTACCTCTGCACTACGACCCACGGGATATCCCGGGATCGGCAAGATCCAAGATTATGCCGTGCTATGCCATGCCGCCACGCGATGCAAAAGCTAACAAAACAACTGCAGCATTCGGCCGTGTCACAATGCTCTACATCCCCGTCGAAGTCAACGGCCACCGTCTCAACGCATTCGTCGACTCCGGCGCCCAGGTCACAATCATGTCCCCGAATGCGCAGTCGCTTGCAACATCATGCGCCTCGTCGACCGCCGCTACGGCGGTATCGCCAAGGGCGTAGGAACCGCCCCGATCCTGGGCCGAGTACACTCGGCTCAGATCAAGATCGGGGAGATGTTCCTGCCATGCTCCTTCACCGTCATGGAGGGTAAGCAGATCGACTTGTTACTTGGATTGGACATGTTGCGCCGCCACCAAGCCTGTATCGATCTCCAGCGTGGCGCCCTTATCATCCAAGACCAGGCCGTCCCGTTCCTCGGCGAGGGCGATATCCCCAAGCACCTCACGGAAGAATTCGAAGACGAACCGACGGTCAAGGGTTCCGATGGCGCAGAAGTCGGCGCTCGCACGGGTGCGGTGACCCATCAGGCGGGTCGTGAGGGTGGAGGCGCTTCTGCGTCTGCGTCTGCATCTGCATCTACGTCTACGCCTGCACCTGCAGCTGCGTCATCATCTGCTCCTGCGCCACGGATCAATATCCGGCCTGCGGCATCACGCTGGCCGGCAGACTCGATTGCGAAGATTACCGAGTTGGGATTCACGCGGGAGGAGGCTATGCGTGCGCTGGACGCCGCAAATGGGGACTTAGATGGCGCCATTGGATTTCTAATCTGATGTGATGCAGCGCAGCGCAGCGTTGCGTCTCGGATCGGATCTAATTCTTATCTCTAGTCCGATTCTCATGGTATAATATGTTACCCCTGAGGTATAGATCAGGCTTGAGCTAGGCAGACTGGGCTGAGCTGAGCTGGACTCGGCTCGGCTGGACTAGGCATTGCTTTTATTGGCGTGGGTGGATGAATTGTGATTTAGCGGGATTTCATTGGCCATTGCACGCAACGTGTACGATAGGTGTGTGTCTAGGGTATCTAACCGATTCATATTTGCTTCTATGCGTTTCCTGGCGTGGCTTTTTGTGGAATGGATGTAGCTGTAGAGGTACGTAGTGGTACATTATTAGATTAGATGAGATATCAATTGTGAGATATCCCATCACTCCCGCTTAAGCTGTGTCTGGGCTTTAGCCTTGGAGTTAGGCATTAGTTGAGCCCGTAACCGAAGAATCGAATCAATGGCCATATACGCGCCTATTTGACCCGGCGCCGGTTAGCAATAATCCAATCCAATCTCGAGACAGTGCAATGTGCTGCAGTGTGGTGTGGTGTGAGCTTCAACATACCCAATGCCACATAGGGCCCATAGAGAGCCGTAATATTCTGTTTCTCGACCGTACTCCTATCCTCCCACGCCCAGACTTCAACGAGACAAGTAAGCGAGGTGATAAATGCCTGGACACCGAATATGAGGATGTGGACTGGGATGAGGGGGTGTTCTGTCGCAGATGAGATATGGTTAGCGAACTCTGAAGACTTGGTTTGGTTTGGCAATGCTTCAATGCTTGGAAGCTTCGCCGAGCCTCGCTGCGCTGCGCTCAGCTCAGCTCGACTACACTCACCCTTCAACAACCCCCACACAGCCCACAAACTAGCCGGGACATGGTACAACACCTCCATCCAGATAAATGCGCTGAACCATGCTGGTGTCGGGGATTCGAAGAATTTGTCGCGGTAGGTGTTTACGTAGAAGGTTCGTAGGGTTGTTGAGAGGGAGGTTACGGCCCAGGTTGGTTGGAGTGGGGCGGTGTCGATTAGGTAGATTATTGGGAGGTGAGTTGTGAAAAATATTAGGTATGCGATGTCTGTTTTGCGGAGCATTGTGGTGGTAGTGGTGGTGTGTGGTGTGGTGGGGGAATGGTGTTGGAGTTGGAGTGAGTGAGTGAGATGTGAACTTTTGCGAATGTTAGTGGGGAGCGGTCAGGTGGGCGGGGCGGCGATCGGTGGTATGTTTGCTTTTTCGAATCGATAGCTTATTTTAGTGGATCGATAGTACTACCTGGACAGAGGAGGAGGAGGAGGAGGAGTAGGAGTACAGAGTATGAGTACTCCGTATACTACGGAGTAGTTAGTATCTACATACTCACAGTACATAGTATGCATACGTAGTATAGTAATTAGTATACTAGTAGTATGCCTCTATGTACCGGGATACCCATTTTGGGGAACCAGCGGAGAACGGGCCGGACCTTGGCCAGAACCACGGTTGGTCTCTACAACAGCTACACACTTTGGGTATACTTCAACACTTCAACTACCTCCTAGGGTACCCACTGGCAGTATGGATATCATTGAGTACCTTGGGGATAACCTATACACCCACGGAGAGGTATTCCATACACACCTCGCATCCTAATCCCCCAATTACATCATACGACGCACTCCTATCGGCTCCCTCTGCAACCGAGTTCGTACAACGCAGCATCGAGGATCAGGGCAGACCGCATCTTTGACGTCGCTCCAATGATGATCTCTCCACAATCTGGCATTGGCAGAGCCCTGCCGTGGGCACTTTAGGAACAAACTTCCCGGGTCCATCCCGGCTTCGTCCCGACTCCATCGTATCCACTTCAGGAGAGACCGTTTCTTCCTCTTCCTCTTCCCTCGTCTTCTTTTCTTGGCTCCGCGTACCAGCACAAGGGTTAGTCTAGGAACTAGGAACTCGGTCCGATTCGTTGGCCCACTCTTCGATCACGGCAGATAATGCAATTACCATTCCACCCGCCTTATGCCCGCATGTCTCTTCCCAGTTCATTCGGAATCCATGCGCGGGATTCCGCTCGCCTACAATAGAGCGGTGTGTGTCGCAACCCTTGTGGCAACCCACTATCGAGCCTATAGAGTGTATCCAAGGGGGTGCCCCAGGGTGGAGGGGGACAAAAAAAACACTATCACCGCCACCAATCGCCAATCACTCTTCACGCCCTTCTTCCCCCTCCCCCCTCTTACCCCTGAAATTGGGCAAATTTGCGATGCGGGATGTGGTCAATTGGGTGGAAATTAGCGCATCGGCCGGGAAGAATGGATCATGTACTCGTTCGTACTCCGTAAACTACAAATGAATTGCCCACCGATGATGCAGCTCCTGTCCACAATTCGACTCCTTCACTCCACTCCACCGGACAACGGACAACGGAACACGCCGGGATGTCAGTGGTGTTAATCGCCTTGATCTGATTTTTAGAGCACGTTTTTTTTTGGGAGGGGCCACCCCCGCTGACCGCTCCTCTCCGACCGAACGCCCCCTAGTGGTCCCAATGCTCCCAATGCTCCACCCCTGTCCAGAAGGTATCTATCCTCTTCGTCGGTGACCACTCGGAGATGAAAGGGCACGAGCTAGTGTTTGAAGGATGCAGCTAGAACCTTGGAGCTTCGATATCGGGCCTTGTCCTTACGCTATCTGACGCGATCTCCATTAGCTTGTCCCTCTACTCTATATAAGACGAACTGGTGTCGGATCAGATAACTTTCGTCTCCATCTTTTTTTTTTGCTTTTTCTACTCCACTACAGCTATACACCACAGCTTGCATGCCCTTAGCCGCAACCTTGGTTGGAACGAAATAGCAAAAATGCCCTCCTCAACAGCCCCCCTCATCCGTGCCTCCAACAAAGCAAATGCACACAAACCTGAAATCCCAATCAGTTACGACATTAACATCCCCTACGTCGACGTCGAAAAACAATCCAAAATCAAAACCCCATACCCTCAATACCTCCCCACCTGGGATCCAATCTGGTTCGACCCCCTCCCACCATTCGAATACAACGACCCAGCCCTGCGTGCAGCAAAACACAAACCAAACCTCCTCCCTGCAAGCAACACAGGCATAAAATTAAACCATATCCAACCAAACATCGGCACAGTCGTCGAAGGAATCCAACTAAACTCCCTATCCGACAAAGCAAAAGATGAACTCGCCCTCCTCATCTCAGAGCGCAAAGTCCTCGCCTTCCCAGACCAGGATTTAATCGATGACGGTCCGGACGCTCAGGAATCTTTCATGCGCTACTTCGGTAAACCGAACTACCAGCCCGTTTCGGGGACTATTCGCAATCACCCTGCTTTTCATGTCATTCATCGCGATGGAAACCGCGAGGAAATCGCTCGCTTCCTTGAAGCTCGCACTACGACAACACTCTGGCATCAGGATGTTAGTTACGAGATTCAGCCTCCCGGTTATGTGATGCTGGGTCTTCTTCAGGGACCAGATGTTGGCGGTGACACTGTCTTCAGCGCAACGGATATGGCGTATAAACGACTCAGTCCGACATTGAGGGGTTTTCTGGATACGTTGAAGGCAGTGCATTCTTCTGCGAAAATGATTAATCATACGAAATTAACTGGTGGTCTTGTGCGGAAGGATGCCGTTGATAGTGTTCATCCGCTTGTTAGGGTTCACCCTGTTACTGGGGAGAAGTGTTTGTTCCTGAATCAGGAATTTATTACGAAGATTCCTGGTCTTAAGGAGCCCGAGACGAAGTGGATGTTGGATTTCCTTATGAATCATATTATTACCGGTCATGATTTTCAGGCTAGGGTTAGATGGCAGCCGAGGACTATTGTTATGTTTGATAATCGGTCGACGACTCGTGAGTTTTTCCCCCCTTCCCGGTTTCTTGGTTGTATCTGTGTACTGACTTTGCTGCCTTTCCAGATTCCGCTATTGTGGATTACTTGGATGATGAGTACGGTGCCAAGGCGCGTCATATCTTCCGCCTTATTGCGCTGGGCGAGAAGCCGATTCCGGTTTATGACGAGTTTGACGAGTGAAGGATCTGAAAAGTGTTCCAATTCTTCTGGGTCTGCGTTATTTCAAGTTGATAGACGGGTTTTTCTTTGGTGTCTGGGTTAGAATGCGTGCTATATAGTTTCGGTTATACTTAATTTATTCCAAGGTTCCCTCTCTCTCCATCCTTCAAAATATCCACATCATTTTTATCAGATGGCCCACTTCAGCCAAGCTGCTGCATTCAATTTCTGAAATCCTTGGCTTGGCAACAAGTGGATTCAATTGATACCTGGGAATTTGGACTTTGATTCGCGTCGGTTTGCTTTAATCAGGAATGATCGGCGTGAGAACTTGGGCTGAACTTGCGACTTTCCAAGAAGAATAGGATCTATGCCGGTGTTCCGCACGGCGTGCTATTACTACTACTAGTAGTACTATGATGCCCAGGTGTCCAAGGTATTCTGTACCTATTAGCATGGATGGTACTAGTATCCATCTCGACTGCATCTATTACTACTATTTCGTATCTAGTCTCTAGAAACTTGAACTGCATCGTACTACTACTCTAGCACTCGTAGCCTACAACAAACTAAACTTGAAGAAACTCGAACTCAAACTGAATGGATATACACTGTCATATTACCATGTGAAAATCTTTTTAAGCTCTAAGCTGACAACTTGAAAGCCCAGGGAAAAGCAAAAGGGTGAATCGCAATGCCTATTACCATCCAACAACGCCCGGCCCGGGCACTAGAATACAAACATATCATGCACAACGGGACCACCAACAACCAAACCATACATAAAAAAAGAAAGGCAGTATCGTCAAAAATCCATTTCCTACAACCGTCTCAGTCCAGTCAGTCCAGTCCAGTCCAGTCCAGCGCAGACCAGTTCAGTCCAGTTCAGTCTATCACCACCTGTGATGGGACAAGCAAGACAAACCCACCGCATGGCATCGGCTTCGGCTTCGGCATCGGCTCGCTTCTCATCACCCAACCCAGCGTGCAATCCCTCCAGCACAAAACCCCTGCATCACTAGCGTGGGGGGCCAAGCCATATGGACACAAACACCAGACCAAGGCGACTCAAAATTGAAAGTCAAAGTGCAAGTAATCTGCAAGCTTAGACCGGCACCTAGGCAACCCACTAGACCAATCTAGGCTAGCCCTAAGCCAAAAGATCCGAAATGGCCGCCCGTAACTTCTCACATAACTCCCGAACCTCGGCAGCATTATGAGGAGACTGTTGCATGAGCAATAAAGTTTCCGAAACACGTTCAGCCGCAGCCTCGGATCCAAACACCATTCCGCCCAATTGGGCACTATCGTTAAACCATCCTTGCAACAGGTACACCAAATCGGCCGCGATGTATCGGCGATTAGCGCCTTGGAAGGGCGCTTCGTCTGTGTAGTACATTGCTTCTAGCACGGCGTAGAGGGATTCGAATGCTACGCCTAGATCGAGGAACAGGTCGATTACCCAGTGTGTGCTGGGTGAGTTGGCAAATGAGGTGGATGTGGATGTGGAGGAAGAAGAAGTGGCGCCGCGTTGGTGTTCGAGAGAGTAGCGTTCTAGAATTGGGAGTAGTTCGCGGACTGGGAAGACAGTTTCGGACATTCGGAGACGGGAGCCTAGACTGCGGATTTTTTCAATTATCGCTTCGTAGGGCTGCGGTGAGCCTGCTTGTTGGGTGCTGGCGTGGAGGTCTTGGATTAGGTGTTGCCAGGTGGCTTTGATGTCGGCTGCGTTGCGGTAGTCCGCTAGGTAGAAGATCTGCAGGCAGATGTCATAGTAACTAGCGGAGTCGGCGTATTGGTTGAAGAGCTAGTTTAATGGGGCGGATGGTTAGTGACTGAACTACCGAGACAAAGACACGCACGAGCGGGTGGGTGTGTTGCTTACCGTACTAATATCCATCACCGGGCCGTCCACGTCCTTAAGGACTTCCGCTTTACGATCGCCCGCAATCCGAGTGTCATCCTTTAGTCTTTGCAAAAGATCGTCTTGAATATTGGCCACGTCAATTAGGTTTCCGATCTCCTGCAGCAGACGCTGTCGAGACTGGCGTCCGACATCGGGGGTAAAGGTTGATGCATTAGCTCGGGCGCGGCCGAGGTACTCGATCCGCTTGCTCAATGGCAAATTGAACGCACTCTGAGCCAATTGGAATTGAACCTTGGCTGCCTCGAAGAACCGTTGTGACTGGGCGTAGTAGCGCCACAATAGATCAGCATGGGCGATGTCGTCAGTAGACTTGCGCTCGAGATATGTCACCACGAACGCAGATTGGGTCTGCAGCAAACGGTCGCTCCAGCCCTGTTCTAAATACCAGTCGTACAGGCTGGTCAAGAAGACTTCGTCTTGAGAGCCAGAAATCACGCCATAAGCCTCGTTCTTCCGCTTGGCGATCTGGGTTAGTTGGCCGTCGATGAAGCCGGGATCATTGGCGGTGAGCGTGTCAACGGCTACCATCACCTTCGACACGAGGTCGTAACATTGCTTGCGGAAGTAGAAGTGCTCCTGCGGGGGTCCTGTGGGGATGTGAGCGGGTGTACGCCGAAGGCTCTGGGGGGCATAGGCACCTGTGCGGGACGGCCGTCCATGATCCAAGAGAGCGCGAGGTTGGCTTTATCGGAGACACCGGCGACGTTGAGACATAGTTGGATTGCACCTGTTTGCGTTAGAGTTAGCATTAACATGGCCACACCAATGATCTTGGATGCCGAATGTAAGCTCACCAGCAAAGAATTCATTATTGATATAGATATCGACGGCCGAAACCAAATAGTCCATGGGAAGGTTTTCGGCCACCTCCAGGAAAAGCTTGAGACTCTCATTCAAGAGGTTCCGGCCCAAGTCCGAGTTGGCTCCAGCTTCTGACGCACGCTTGAGCAGCTCTTGCGCCTTGAAAATCACCACGTCCTCGGTGCTGCAGAAGCTGCCACAGCGACGTCGAAGCGCATCTGCAATGGTCTCAACGTTGGAACCCTTGGCGATGTTGCGGTTCACAATGCCCTTGACCAGCTCCTTGGCGATCTCGTGACCCTTGCCGGTGCTGAACAGCTCCTCGAAGGTGAGTTTCAGAAATCGATCCTTCGACTCGGCCGGAAGTGTGGCAACGATCTCGTCAACGTGCTCATCGAAAAGAACTTGGACAAAGGAAAGGCCTTCTATAGTGTGTGAGACCAGCTGCACAAGCGAGTGAACGGCACGATGCTCGGCCTGCAGCTCAACCACCGCGGCCTTGGACTCTGCCCGAGCAAGTGCATCAGGCCCGCTAAGACCCTCAATGAAGCTGCGGTTGACCTTGAAGAATTCCTGCAGCGATGAGAGGCTTTGCTGGACAGTCTGAAGCTTGGCATTTGGCACAGAGGCGGAGACTGTGGCAGCGCCGTTCGAAGCTTTGCCAACCGTTGCAATCTCCTTCTTCCATATCGACCGGAGGAGACGCGAGATGTAGAGAGCGATACCCTGGTGGCGGGGCGAAGGTGTCACGTCATCGATAGTGAGAGCAGTGTTGTCGCTAATATCCTGGTTGGGTGTGGGCTTGCCACCGAATCCGACAAAGATCTTGCGGGCAAATTCCAGCACGTCCGGATCACTGATTGTCGTCAAACGCTGGTCGGATGAAATCTCCATACCCTGTCCACAGGCAACTGCTAGAGCCGTCGCAAGAGTCTCCGCTCGACCGAATCCGAGACTGAATTGCTTCAGAACCTCGTCCAAACCGTCATGGCTGAGGCTGCCGCTACGTGCGAGCGAGGCAAAGATATCCACCGGGCGTCGTCGGCGGATGACATAAATTCCAGTATTCGTTAAGATCGCAACCTCGGCAGCAGGGTAGTCAAACTGGACGGCCATCTCATTACCGAATCCACCGGCTGTAGCTGGAAGAGGCGCCGAGCAAAGTCCAATATCCTCAGCCCTGCCACCGAGACTCATCCAGATAGCCGACTCGGGTGCTTGAGCTGCAGTCGAGCTCTCGTGAGGCCGGGCGAGTCGGCCAGAATCGGGAGAGGAGATAAACAATGTGTCCTCCTTTTGTGTAGCATCCTTGCAGGTGAAGCAGAAGAAATAACCGGGGGGGAATCTCGTCGCCATGCGAGTGGGTGTGAGCGATTGAATTGCTCCACGAGTAGCGGGGGTCTGGATTCGGTTACCATTGGCATCTCTAGAAATCGTCGTTATATCCACTGGCGGGGTCTTGATATGCTGCGCCTGCATGCTGGTCGGGGCATTGGTTCCAGTTGGTTCATTCCAGGAGTACGCACTAGTGGCACTGAGGAAAATGCGGTACCCAGTAGCCGTAGTCGCAACCAAATGATATCGAGACGCCTCCGCTGCAGGGACCGGGCTGATAGCGACGATCTTCACCTTCTGATTCAGGGTTTCGTGGGATGCGATTGTATGTCCGATATTGGCGTAAATATCAGACGCTTTCTTAGTGATAGCCAGCTTCAAGGTACCATCGGATTTCATGTGAAGCACGCGAATTGTCGATTCCGAAGAGAGTGTGTACAGCAATTTCCGGCCTTCATCCACAACCATCTGCTCCATGTGCTCGTGAGAAACGATTTGCGCTAGGTTGGACAAGCTTGCCGATGGAGCGAAAGCCGATAATCGGGAGACTGTGCGGTTGACCTTTGCGCAGCGACTCTGGAACCAGCGCTCCTCTTGTTGGTAGGTGAGTTCGTACACGTGGTTGTCGGAGGTGCCTCCAAAGAAAATACGACCATCCGAGTCCGACGAAGTGATAACGTTGACATCCATGCCGCGAATGGAGACTGCCATCTTCGTCTCGAAGAGGGAAACCGTAGATGCTCCGCTTGGTGTCTTCTCACAGCTCATACCCAGCAAAATCATCTCAGCAGTCGTGGATACCACCAGCAGGTGAGTAACTCCTGGTAAGAAAACTCCCGGACGCGGTTTAACCAGCTTGACCGCATTGATGCTGTTCGGTTGTTCCTCAAAGCCTACCAGGGAAGGGTTCGGGTGTGTGAAATCCCAAAGGTAGAGCGCGTGGTCGATAGCCACCCACGCGTGGTTGATCTCGGCGAACAGCCCCATGCTTGTCGAGACCTGGGCGCGATTGTATTGATCGAAGATCATATCGGGGATGTTGTATGTTTTTACTTTCTGGAAGGGGGCCCATGATTGGGTGACAGGGATATCATAATCGGACGAGAATCCCTCTGTTTCACGTTAGCTGGGATACATTGGAGGGCAGAGAAAAGGTCCCACTTACGCGACAGATAGCTGTCCAAGTCAGGATACCGAGCTTCTTGGGCCAATGTATTGTTGATCGTGTGCGCCCCGCGCTCTTCAACGGTCAAGGCCCGATTGGATATCTGGGTGACGGCCGGAGCCATCCTGGGCAACGGGATCTGAGTCTGGGCCTGGGCCTGGGCCTGAGCATAGGCAGGGCCCTGGGCAGGAACCGGTCGAGATTGCGGAGCAGTAGGTACATTTTGAGTCGGAGCTGGAGTCTGCAGGAAAGCTCCAGGAAGGGGTCTCTGGGGTGTCCCCGGAGGGAGGTTCATTCGCAGGTTCGGATACGACATGATACAGCTAGAGAGCTGAGCAGGGAGGAGGGAGAGCTCCCCGCTAATGGTAGGAAGAGAAAAGAGGAAGCTTCCTAAGGAAAGAATCAAAGCTTCCTCCAGTTCGGATGGTGAGGTGGAAGGTGTTGGTGGAGGAGGTGGAGGAGTGAAGGAGGATTGCGGCGGAGGGTGAGGCAGTTGCAGTTGCAGTTCTGCAGTCTTTTGCGAAAAGCGCGAATCAACAATTGGAGGTGCACGGACCACCCGAGGATGTTCCGCCTTCACCTTCATTTAATTCAGCAGTTACATTTACATTTACATTTACATTTACTCCCTACACAAACACAATTGTTAGTCATTAGTGATTGGTGCACCTATAACAATGTCTTTTTACCTTGCTCGTCTATCTGCGCAACCCCTGCGCTCCATGCGCTTTGTGCGCTGGAACTCCACGGCCAGTCCGGCCACTCCGCCGCTGATGGTTACCCTGCGAACGGATCTGAAGACTGCCATGCGAGCCAAGGACACTTCCAGGTGAGACTTCCTTGTATATCTGTGTTGAGAGAAAAGGACTTTTCTAATTCATCACTTCTCGTCCAGACTCAATGTCCTCCGCGCCGTCATCTCCGAATACAACAACAGCCAAAAGACCTCTTCCCGATCCAAACAGACATCCAATTACTCTCACTCCTTCAAAAACGCGCCAACGCATCCAAAGAAGCCGCTCAAGAATTCGCCGCAGCTGAGAGACCCGATCTGAAGGAGAAGGAGGACGCGCAGGTCGCTGTTCTGGAGGAGTATGCCAGCCAGGTTGAGACCTTGTCCGCGGAGGAAATGCAAGCCATTGTGACCAAGGAAATTGCTGCCATTAAGGAAGCTGGAACCAAGTTGAACAAAGGATTGATCCTGAAGGCTCTCTTTGCACCCAATGGTCCTCTGGATGGCAAGCCTGTCAACCGCAATGAAGTTGCCAAGCTGGTCAATGAGGCCGTTTCCGCTTAAGATTTGAACTGGGTGGATTGGATTGCGATGTACAATAGTGTACCATAGTGTACCATAGTCTTATTATTAAATAGATATCCCCTCTCAATACTACGTTTGTGTGGCTAGTTTAATCAGAAAAATGCGATTAATGCTGGATATTATGAATATTCAAGTTAAATAGATGCTCAAGAGAAGAAGAAAGCGGCACCACCAAGCGAGGTCGCCAACACGCCAAACCACCACCAGCGATCCGGATTAATCAATTCCTCCTTGATCACGAGGTGAAGATCGGGGCTGGATAGATCTCGCTTCTTGCTCTTACTCTTTTCCTTGCTATCTGCTGTCGGCATGGGGTTGAGGGTGTTGGTGGGCAGCATCTTCGGAGGTCGATATGCCAGGAACATAGGATGCACGATAGTGCCAGTAGACCGGATCAGGTCGAGTCGAGGGACTTGATGATACGCATCGAGAGAGACGGAGAAGGACTGTGTTTTGTGAAATGTGTTAGTAGGATTATTCTCTCTACTGGATTGGTAATGGTGTTTCAAATTACCTTGAATGATTCGGTGTTGTTGTATCGAGTATAGCTCGCGGTGTTTTTCACGCAGGGCTCGGAGAGTAACTGTCGACCATCGCTGGCAATCGGATGGAGTATCATGGAACCATCGGCTGAAACAGAATAGCTTCCATGTTGGAATTGCATGATGCCTGAGGGACAGGATGGATCGGTGGCTGGGAGTGTTCAAGTTAGCAGTGAAGTAGATAGCAGTGTATATACTACTCAGTACTCACGATTCGCGACGGCGCGGTAGAAAGCCTGTTCATAGTGACCTTTGCCGTCAAAAGAGTAGGAAATGCCGGTCAAATTAGGCTCGAGAAATTTGTCGTTAATCGGATCGTAGAAGCCCTGTGTTGTGTCAGGAGTGCTTTTTGCTTTGTGCTTGACTGTTGTGGTTGTAAATGTCATACCGGACCAGTAATGACTTGCTTCGATTTGGTTGTCCACGTCCCCACCAAATCCTCCGCATTCAACGCCGCCGCCGTACAAACTAGAAGCGCCCACAGGAAAATCATTGTCGTTATCTCGTCCGTTTGATTCACGAAGAAGAGAAGAGACACATTTCACTGGGAGTATCCATCATCCATCCCTTCTTCACGGGATCAACAAGGACCAAGGGCAAGGGACACACTCCAGCATACCACACCCTAGGGTAGTCCCACTCTTATCAATTATCGAGAGGAATCTGCCCTAAACCAGAGAGAGTAATCTCCTCCCCCTCCCTTCCCTTTCCCGCGGCAATTGGATCATACAGTACATCATCTGGAACATGGCTCTCCAAACAGCAAAGCGGGATCTGCGCAAGCGCATGCGCGGGGTCTTTGAGAATCTCTCATCGGCTTCCATTATCCAGCAATGTGAGTCTTTTCGCTCGGGGGCGTGGCAGTTAGAGTCATATCATATTTCTGGACTCACTCACACTTCGTCACAGCCGTCTCCGCCACAACCAGGTTTCTATCCCTGGCCGAGTATCAAAATGCAAAGAGTATAGCCGTTTATCTGTCCATGCCGGCCGGTGAACTATCAACCCGCAATATCGTTCAAGATGCTTTACAAAACGGGAAGAACGTATACATCCCATACATCCACAAAGTCGACCAACTGTCGATCATGGATATGCTAGCTCTAAACTCCATGGCTGAATTTGAATCTCTCCAGCCCGACAAATGGGGTATTCCCTCACTACAGTCTACACAAGTACCCGGTCGCCGCAATTGTTTCGAGGCCACCGGATTAGATCTCATTGTCATGCCGGGTATGGCCTTTGATCACGGATTCCGTCGATTGGGTCATGGGAAAGGGTATTATGATCATTTTCTAACACGGTATTCTAAATGGAGCAACAAGATGCCATTCCTCGGTAAGAGATGACCCTCCAAACAACTCAATGCCATGACGAACCCCCGACTTTTTGTGTCCCCCGCGAAAGAAGAAGTGAAGCTTAAAACTTGAGAAACTGATAACTGAAACTCCGCTAGTTGCCCTGTCTCTCCAGGAGCAGTTGCTCGCCGAGGATATTCCCGTCGTGGATCATGACTGGTTGATCGATGCGGTCGTGGTGGGTGATGGGCGGTATCTGGACCGCAGGTCGTAATCAAGCAAGTGGTACGGATACTCGTAAGGGAAGTGAGGTGCTGGGTTGATGGTATCAAACGGCCTGGATCAGCGACACGTTGTCACCCTTGAGCAGGATTTGGCCTGGAAGTGGAAAATATTAGCATGATTCAATTAATTATTGCAGTAGCAGTAGCAGTTAAAGCTGTAATCTGCAATCTGCGAACTGATGGTGTGCATACCAAGCGGCCTCCGCTTCTCCTCCTCCGTCTTTGTAGCCTGGCGCACCTCGACCGCCTCGTCGATGACGAGGTTCATAAACTCATCGAAACCCTAGATAATGCGCATTAGTCATGGTGCTCAATGCAGATACTTGGAAGCTCCTTCTTATCACCAGGTCCAGGTGCACATACCCGAATCTTGCCCTCAATGCGGAAGGCCAACTGCTCATACAGCCAGATTGAAACTGTGTTGCGCTTCTGGAGGAGACTGAAAATAAAATGGATAGGCGCCAAAAGCGTCTTGCGGGGGGGCATGATTGCGAGTGAAGAGAGAAATGAACGCAGTCAAGTCAAGTCGCAGTCGCGTAGGCAAGTCCGACTTGAGAGGGCGACACCGTAAAACTCAGGGCACGTGATTGTTTTCACAGTGTAGCACTTGATTGGCTGTGATGCCTCGCCGCCTTGGGTGTTTATGCCTGGATTTCCAGGCCCTCAGGCATCAAGGTTACACATCACGGGCACCACCAAACATCCCACCTTCCTCTCTCTCTTTGCGATTTGATTCTCCTTCGACCACCCTTTCACCTCTCCCTTCTTTTCTTTTTTTTCTAAGGTCTGGGCTTACAATTATCACTGACTGTCTGATATACGCCCACGCCCCTCCTTTTCCTCCCTCCTCCCCCCCTTCCCTCCATCATGGCCGACAAGGAAAGTGGGCAGGCATTTGCCCCGGTCCTAGCGGCCGTCGCGACTATGCAAGGGAATGTGCCTAGGTCCGAGAAGACCCAAGCCCACGAATTCCTAGAGAAGTTCCAGAAATCGGTATGTCCAATCTCAAAGTCAATCATTCAACCATCATATCTTCCCCCCTCAATGCTAACCTTAACGCGTCGCAGATCGAGGCCTGGCAAACAACCCACTCTCTATTACAGTCGCCCGATGTTCCCGTCGAAGCTAAGTTGTTCGCCGCAACGACATTGAAAGGAAAGGTGAGACAAGTGAACGGAAGAAAAGAACCGGGGACAAAAACTATGACATTGTCGATAAAGACCCTAGCTATGCGCGGGGCTAACTCAGAACCTAGATCGTCTTTGACCTCGACCAACTTCCCCCCGATGCCGTCGTTGCCCTCCGAGATTCCGTCCTCAACCTACTGGTGGCTTTTGCTTCCGGCCCACGCCCAATTCAGACTCAGCTATGTGTATGTTTGGCAAGCTTGGCGATCCAGATGCTCGCATGGAAGGATGTCCTGGCAACTGTGGGCGCAGCATTGGGCAACAGTGCGGGGGACTGTGTGTTGGAGTTTTTGAAGATTCTGCCGGAAGAAGTGACCGAGGGTCGCAAGATCAATCTCAGCGAGGATGATCTCATTCAAAGGACTAAGGAATTACTGGAAGATAATGCCGAACAGGTGATGCAGTTGTTGATCGGGTATTCCCAGTCTTCGCCAACGGCCGCCACAAACCCGCGTCTGCTCGATTGCATCACTTCATGGCTGCGCGAGATCCCTGCTTCCCAGGTTGTCGAGTCGCCTCTCATGGATGTCATTTTGAAAGCATTGGATAATGACGTGTCTTTCGATGCTGGCGTCGACTGCATGTGCACTCTCTACCGTGACACCCGCGATGTCAACGAATCGCTTCCCGTAATTCAGGCCCTGTACCCCCGCCTCATGGCCCTGCGACCGAAGATTGCTGAGAATGCCGAGGCGGAGGATCTCGAGGCGTTCAAGGGTATCACGAGGATGTTTGCTGAGGCTGGTGAAGCTTGGGCGGTTCTTATTGCGCGCCTTCCGGGCGAGTTCCGCGGCTTGGTCGAGGCGGTTCTGGAGTGCGCTGCGCGTGATTGGGAGCGCGATGCTATTTCTTTGACCTTTATCTTTTGGTATGAGTTGAAGCAGTACATCACGCTTGAGCGTTATCCCGAAGCCAGAGTCAGCCTACAAGATATCTTCTCCCAGCTGGTGGACATCATGGTGAAGCATCTCGAGTTCCCCAAGCCAGAGGATGATGAAACCGATCTATTTGCCGGTGATCGTGAGCAAGAAGAAAAGTTCCGCCAGTTCCGTCATCAAATGGGGGATGTTCTGAAGGACTGCTGTGCCGTCGTTGGCGTGCCCGACTGCCTGGGCAAGATCTACCAGCTCATTCAAGAATGGGTGGCCAATTATGCTTCGCAAGCCAGCGACAACCACGTTCCTCATTGGCAGGCGCTGGAAGCACCACTTTTTGGCCTGCGGGCTATGGGCCGTATGGTGGATCCCGAGGAAAACACCGTGTTGGGCCAGCTGGTTCCCTTGATCGTGCAGATTCCCAACCAGGAGAAGATCCGATTCCAGGCTATCATGGCCCTTGCTCGTTACACCGAGTGGACAGCATTGCACCCCGAGACCCTTGAGGCTCAGCTCAACTACGTTATATCCGGATTCAACCACACTTCGCCCGAGGTCATCCAGGCCTCGGCACTGGCATTCAAGTTCCTGGGCACAGATTGCCAAAAGCTTCTTGGTGGCCACATCAACCAGCTCCACACATTCTTCGAGTCGGTGCTGGACAAGCTCAAGCCTACCAGTCAAGAAGAGGTTACCGAGGGCGTCGCTGCCGTCGTCTCCGTCCAGCCTCGCGAGAAGATCTATGAGTCGTTCAAGATGTTCTGTGACCCAATTATGGCTCGGATCATGAACCTTGCCAACAATGCACAGGATGAAGAAGGCCAACGTGCGGTTGCGGATCACTTGCAGCTGATCACTATCTTTGTGCAGGTGGTGACGCCAATCTGTGCCCCCGGTGAGGAGAACCCTGCCGTGAAGTACTGCGGCGAAATCCTCCCCATCATGACTACGATCGTTATGAACTTTACCTCCTCTACCCCTATTTTGGAACGCGTTTGCCGATGCTGGCGCTACATGGTTATCTCTTACCGCACCGCCATGATTCCGCTATTGCCTACTCTTGCCCAAAGTATCGCCGGTGGCTTTGAGGCGTCTCGCGAGGGATGCTTCTTGTGGGCCACCGATGCCGTGGTGCGCGAGTTCTCTGATGGTGCCGAGTTTGTAGACCCAGCAACAAGCAATGCTGTCTACCAGTTCTACGAGCAACAAGCGGTTGCCTTCCTCCGAATTATGAACGACCTGCCACCAGAGAATCTTCCTGACGGTAAGCTTACCCCCCATGTCTCTTCCTGATAGACATAAGCTAACCTATCCCCGCTAGTTATTGAGGATTTCTTCCGACTGTCCTCCGACGCCGTCCGCTACTACCCCAAAATGTATATTGGCTCAAGTCTTGCCGTGCCCACCTTCTCCGCGGCTCTCAGTGCCCTCACTCTCCAGCAGACGGACCCTCTTATCGCCACACTTCACTATTACCGGGACCTCTTCGGCTTCGCCTTTGAGAAGCCAATGGTTTCTGGATTCACCAGCCCCGAGGGTGAACCCTACCAAACTCCACCAGAGGTTATGGAGGCCGTCAAAAATCTCGTTCTCTCCCACGGCGAGCTGCTCTCTCAGCGCGTTCTGACAGGCATGATGTTCACATTCCCTGGCGACTGTTTCCCCGATGCGTCAGGCATCATGATGACCATGTTCCAACTCCTCCCTCAAGAGACAGGTGCCTGGTTACAGACTACACTGCAGATGTTGCCACCTGGTTCCATGAAGGGAGGTGAAGCCGAGCGCCTGCTTAAGAGTATCGCCGATAAAGTGCAATCTGGCGAGACCCGCAAGATCCGCGTTCTCCTTCAGGGTGAGTTTCTTTGTCCCTCGCTCACGTATAGGAAGGATATATGTTTAACTAACATTCTTTAGACTTCACCAACTCCTACCGCCGCCGCAATGTTGCACCCCGTGACGGACTGGGCCGTCTCGAGGCAACCCGCTTCCGATTCAGCGGATGAGGATGAACCCTCTGTATATTTTTCTTCTCTTCTTCCTTTCTCCTCCTTTGTGTTTTAGGGAGTCGTTTCGCCTCGTCGCATCCCGTCACGTCTCGTCTTGTCTCGTCTCGCCCGGGGACAAAACCAAAAAAAGGAACCCACCCCCCCTTCCTCCGAGCATTTGCACATCAGGTGTTATGTTATTCCCACTTTCCTCTTTCTCTAACGCGCCATGTATGTATGATGGCAACGAATTCCGGTGGTCTAGTGATGATGATTTATGATCCGACGCCGACGCGCAGTACCCAGCCGGCTGTTGGCTGCCAGTGAGATCGATTGGATTGGATTGGTCATGACTGGATTGGGTCCGGTCTGATCTGACCTGATCTGATCGGGTTTCATCAAGCTCGGGACTAGTCTGGTCTGGTCTGGTCTGGCTCGGCGCGACTTCCCAGGTGCGGGATATCTCGAGAATCGAATCCAATCCCTATTATTGTCTAGTCACGCACTACGCACCGTGATGATAGGTAGAGAATATTATGACGTGAATCGTCAATGTTTATGTGAATATTTCTGTGGGCTTGTTTGACTGCCTTCATAATACTAGTAGGCAATTTAAACCGGTGAATGTATCTGGTAGATCCAAGTTGGCCACGGCTTGACGTGGCTGAAGGTTTGATATACAGTTGTCCAGGTCATTCCCCCGCTCTAACAAAAACTACTACACTTAACATCCAATATCGAAATCACGCTTCGTAAATCGTCCAAGTATACCAAATACCATCTATACAAAACCAAGAATTCCAACTGGCATATATACAACCCCTCCACCTCAAACAAAGACAAACGCACTCCTCTTCTGGATACTCAAATCCCTCAAAAAACAGGCATAATCACACGGTCCTGATAATCAATATTCCCCTCCAAACTCTCAATCCTCTCCCCACACGTCCCAAAAACCCGATCCCAAATCCTAGTCTGTTTCCCATAATTCATACTCTTCCTCCACCCCTTCCGATGATGCAAATCATGATCCTCAATAACAAGATCCATCCCAAACCACCTCAAAACCTCCGCACAAGGATTCGGAACCGTAGCATGAATCCGTAGCCCGCTATGTCCCGCAACTTCCGCAAACAGTACATATAATTGACAAACATGCCATTCGTAGAAGCCCATCGGGAAGCGTAGGCCGTATTTCATTGTTAGCCAGGCTAGTAGTGGGATGCCCGCGATGTCGAAGAATTCTTGGATCGAGTCGGCGTAGATGGTTAAGAGGGGGGTTTGGATGTTTGGTTAGATGGTGCGTTCGGTGGTATTTCCATAATGGTGAGATGTCGTGCATTAGTCGGTGATACCAGTAGAACCAGAAGTCGACTGCAATGCTGTATAGTGATATTTCGAAGAAAAGTCGGACTGGATGTTGAAGGAGTGATAGGAGGGGATTTGAAAGATCTTCCGTGCCCGTATTGTTATATGTGAGCCAAGTCGTAAAAACGGGTCTCAGGAACCCGGCCAAAAATACTGATAAGAGCGTTTTGCCAACCCCCACGTCTGGAACCCCATCACGGGCGTGTTTATCACCATCAAGATACCCGTATTGATGCCCCAATTCGCGCATCGAGCGTAATTGGCGGAATGCGAAGAATCGAGATGCTTGGTAGTAGAATATAAATGCTATTATTGGGTGGAACGGGGTATTGGTGAAGTGTAGCCAGAGTTGGTGTATGGCTAGTGGGATGCTGGCGTGGATTAGGATCCAGCGGTGTGATTGCCAGTCTGGGAGATGGGGGAGTTTGTCGGTTTTTGCGTGGACGGGGATCGGGCGGGTTAGGTCTTCGTGGAAGACGTTGGCGTGGTTGAGGATTTTGTGGGGGATGCCCCATTGGGTTTTGTCTGTTCGCCAGGTTGATTTCATTGAGTCTTTTGGGTTGCTCATTTTGGCGGTTGTGGTGGGTTGGTACCCTGTGGCCAGCCTGGATGTATACTAGTAGTATAGTGGAAGGCAAAGGCACTAGCCCGTGGGGTAGAGGTAGAGGGGTCATCTTTATACTAAGTATTAACTAAACTCTGTTCTGAATATGAAAATTGGGGTCTGGCACGCTGACGTGGGTCAGAGAGACCTCGGTTCATGTGTATGGGAGTGGCTCGTTTTTGAGGTTCTTCAGGCTGATGGTCGACAGGGCTGACAGTGATCCTATTGGTCATTCGCAGAGGTTACTGTTTATGAATTAGACCGAGATCTCAATTTGGGGATGATCTACTCTGTTCATGCCGAATCTGCGGATCGTTGAGCATGCAAGTAACCTTAAGTGGGCAGTAGATCTGACATTAGAGGTCAGCAATGATAGTAGTAGCATCCTAATCCCCAGGTGGACTTTATATAGACATTTTAAGTACCAGTTACTGGGTCGCTAGGAGTCTATCGATACTCGTACAAGTATTCCTGCAAATGTCAGCTCTTCTTATAGTAAAGATCGACGTTGCAGCCCTTATTTGCCTGATTATTCAGGTGTCTACATGCACTGCTAAGGTTGTGACTGGCAGATGCCAGATGTGTTGAATATGGGTAGGTATTTACTCGTAGAAAAGATGAAATCTAAGTTTAGTATTATTTAGATAGTTTCTAGTATTGAAGTCTTGATCTTTCAAGTTGGCCGTATCAGTAATTTGCAGTATTATACTAGTATAATCTTGGAAGTGCCCATGGTCTTACTATATATATCTAGGTATGCGCTGTCCAGTGCTATCCTCGTATCACTGACAGCCACTGGCACTGGCATACGCCTGCCAGTGGGCAACTTGTATACACTGAGATCATTATTAGTAGTGTCTTAAATAATCCCAATAGTAACTGAATATACTAAATACCACAATACTACTAGTATCCCCTATTCCCCATCTAATAATAATACCAAGCATACTACTGTCTCCCCAGACTCGGCAACCCCACCTGCGCGTCTCCGCACTCCCCGGAGAACTTTGTTCCTCGCGCTCACACCTCACTCCTCCACCTCCATTTCACCTTCACCTTCACATCCAGCACTCACGTCTCAACTTCCAAGGCAGTTAGTGCTGGTCAGAAAATATATACAGGGATCCACTGTCGGCTGTCTTCCACTCTCCCGACTCTACTCTCCTCCCATCACTGTCCTGATCACCGGGCATCCGGCTATGGCACCCAATGGTGCTGTCCACAGTTAACCCAGACCTCATGGAGGACGATCAACCCTCCAAGCGGCGCCGTCGCAGCCGTCGCGCCCCCTCAGATCGCAAGTTTGAGTGCACTCATGAAGGCTGTGGCAAGAGTTACTCGCGCGCCGAACATCTCTACCGGCACCAGCTCAACCGTACGTTCGCAAAGCTCCCTCCTCTCCGCCTCCGCCTCTCCCCTCTTCACTGCTGACCATCCCAGACACACCCAAGCAGATCTTCCGCTGCGATTTCCCCAACTGCTATCGCTCTTTCGTCCGACAAGACCTCTGCGTTCGTCATCGCGAGCGCCACACCACCCGCGGCTCCCAACTGCAAAAGCGCGACTCCTTCGCCGATTCCCACGATGAGCCTTCCAAAGCCCTCATCTCGACCTCCTCCCCCTCCTCCCCCTCAATGACCCCCGCAGATTACTCTTTCATGACCGAGCCACCCACCACAACCTCCAAATCCCCGCCAACATCCACCTCCTACCCGCTCTCCACGGGCATCGATACAACCGGCATCCCGGTCTCGGGATACACAGATTTCCCCGGCGTCATCAGCCAGCCAGACACAATGCTCGAATTTGAGTCCATGTCAAACTCATACCCGATCTTCGGCGGCGAGACCTACAACCGCTCACCTTTCGCCATGGCAGATGACTTCGCAGCGTGGCTATTCAGTGAACCAATGGCGCCGCTCGGCTACGGCATGATGCCCTTCGTTCAAAACCAGCACCAAAACCAATTCTACGTCAACGAACCCAACTACAATAATTTCTGCACCGTCATCCCACAGCATCCAATGAGCGTGACGTCGATTTTAGACTCCAATTCATTACCCGCCATCATCTCCGAGGAAAAACGGCAGGAATTACTCCACCTCATGGCAACCCGCTTCAACGAAGCAGCCTACTCCGCCGACACAAAGCGCAAAGACGCCCTAATGGACGGTGACCTCAACAGCGACCGACACGTCCTCAGCCTACGAATGATGCAAGCCTACATCGGATCATACTGGTACCACTTCCACGCGCAAATGCCAATCCTGCACCAGCCAACCTTCGCCGCGGACCGTACGCCCAATTTACTCTTACTAGTGGTTATGGCGATCGGGGCTGCGTCGTTAGATAAGAACCACGGCCAAGCGACGACAGAAACGGCGGCTGAATTGGCAAGTTTCATCGCGTGGCATTTACGATGGGAAATATTTATGGATGCGGATTTCCGTCCTCCCGCGAGACTTTGGGTCTTTCAAGCCCTTCTTTTATTGGAGGTTTTTGAAAAGACGTTCTCGACGCGCGCTCTTCATGAACGTGCGCATATTCACCATGATACTACGCTTACGCTTATGAGACGTGGTAGTTCGCTTATCGGTCGTGCTTCGTTTGATTCGCCAGATACGAAGGAGGAAGATGAATCGTGGGCTCATTGGATTAAAGCCGAGGCCACGCGACGAGTGGCTTTTGCTGCATTTGTCCTCGACTCAACCCATGCGACTATGTTCGGACATTCGGCTAAAATGGTTGCGCATGAGTTGAGACTTCCACTTCCTTGTGACGAGGCACTTTGGGCCGCGACTAGTGCTGCGGAGGTCGCTAGGGTTCAATCTAGTTTACAGTCTCATGGTGTGAGGCCGGTTATGTTTCTTGATGGACTTAAGCGGACGTTGAATGGTCAACCTGTGCGGACGAATTCGTTCGGCCGGATTATTCTCATGGCTGGACTTTTGAGTGTGAGCTGGCATTTGAATCAGAGAGATTTACAGGTTAGTTCGCTAGGCGTCGGACAGACACTCGGTGGCCGAGACAAATGGCGAACATCACTTCTACGAGCCTTTGATAATTGGCGTCGGGATTTCGACGAGGCGCTTGGTCCGTCGACTTCGACTGAATCCGAGACTCGGGATGTGTTGCATGGTCTTGCGCATATGGGGTCTCATGTGGATATTGTTGATCTTCAGATCTTTGCCGGCGCGGGTCGATTAATGGGTCGATCTATTACGGCGCGCGATTATAGCACTGCTCGTGAGAAGACGGAGCGTTGGGCTACGAAGGCTTCAGCCCGTGATGCTACCTTTTACGCATTGAAGTTCCTACACGCTTGTTTCTCGGTGTCGAGTCCCGATCCCGCGCTACGGTCGGCGGAGTATAATGCTCGGGACGATTATTTACTTAATCGGCCGTGGGTGATGTATTTTGCTGCGTTGGTGGTGTGGACGTATGGGTTTGCGTTGGATGGGCCATTACGTCCGCCGCCGGTGTTGGTGACTCCGCTTGATTGTCGGGATGATATGCAGACTTTCTTGGCGAGGTTTGGGTCTGTTCGAGAACCGAATGATTTGGAGGGGATGGAGGGGAGGAATCGGTGTTTGGGACTGTTGATGATTCTGCGGGATTCGTTTTCGAGGCCGCGGTGGGAATTGCTGGGGGAGGCGGCGGCGCTGCTGGACAGCTGCATTGCGAAGTTGAGGTCTTAGTATATATGAATGAGTATAGTAATTAAATAAGTACCCTAGTTTTACTGTGATTATCTATAGATTATCTATAGTATCCCATCTACGCTAGTCTGGCTGGCTGTGGGCTGCATTGTATACGCTAGTTGTTGCCCGCGCAACGGGCGATCGTCTTCCTCTCGCCCAAATCCACCATCCACACCACTCTCATCCTCACTCATTCACCCCAATCCCCCATTCCAATCTCCAATTCGACAGCAGCTTACCTTACTCCCGAATTTACCGTTACATTCATCCCATCATGGTGAGTGCCAGTGTTGACGCATTGCCTCTTCGGCTGACTTTCCCCGCCCCCAACACCAACTGAACCAGTTAACCTTCATCCCTGGATTGCCCTTCCTTTGCCCCTCGCACCACAACACAACACAACCTTCACCTCTACTCCTACCCTCAACTCTACTCTACTCACACACACACACACACACCTGCATCACATCATGGCTAACAGAAACGAGGCCTCCACAAACTACAAAGAGGCTTTCTCCCTCTTCGACCGCCGCGGTACCGGTCTCGTCGCTAAGGACCTCCTCGGTGACCTCCTGCGCGCTTGCGGCCAGAATCCCACTAAGGCTGAGATTGGCGATTTGGAAGAATCTATCGGTGGTGACTGTACGTTTTGCTCTATCAGCACTGCCCTGCCCTGCCCTGCAATGCAACGCGAACGAGACGGCGAACGGAACCATTACTAACGTGTTATTCTACTCACAGTCGACTTCGACTCCTTCCTGAAAGTCCTCAACCGACCCGGCGGCTTCCGTGATCCCGGCGAACCGGAGGAATACTGTGAGGGTTTCAAGGTGTTTGATAAGGAGTTGACTGGTGAGATTGGTCAGGGACAGTTGAAATATAGTGAGTTACACGTGTCTGAAAGCGGGCTGCGCTGCGCTGCACTGCGCTTCGCTGTTATGGGGATGCAGAAGCAAAGCACCGCGAAGCAAAGCAAATCAAAGCAGTCTATGAAGAATCTCTAAACTAACACCTATTTCTTCCCCCCAGTCCTGACAAACCTCGGCGAACCCCTCACCGAAGCGGAATTCGAGGAACTGGCCAAGGCTACGAATATGGGCGAGAAGGTCCAGTATGAGGATCTTGTTAAGACTATTCTGGCTAACTAGGCTGGCTGGCTGCACTAGCCTAGCCTAGTCATGCGAGTTTTACCGTCTGATCTGATCGATACCCTGACTTTGCCTTGCGCCGCGCCGCGCCGCGCCGTGCTGCACTCCGCCTCGCCTCGCCTCGCTCCGCTCCGCTCCGCTGCGCTGCACTCTTCTCTTCTCTGTGCCTACGCTTTTACCACACCACATTGTTTCCCTTTACTGTTCCTTTACTATTTCCCTTTCACGAGTTACGCATGGATATGGATTGTTTTCTTTTTGGGCGTCTCTCTGATCATGAACATTTTCGATCTGCCCCGGTTGTTTTGATCTGGTCTTGTCTTATCCTGTATTGATAAATGCCAATGCGCTGTGATGCGATGCGATTCGAATAAGATCGGATTTTTATTACTAGATTCTCGGGTATATCTACCTATATCCTGTATCCCGAGCCATACTCGTAGTACCCTAGGTATAGCCATGTATATCTACTCCCCCCAAACCCTCCACTCCATCTCCCCAACACCCCCACTCTTCTCCCCCATCTCCCCCGTCTCAACAACAGCTCCAGGCAAAATATAAACAGCCGGCGGCCTCTCCTCCTCCGCGTTCTCCGCTTCACCTTCACCTTCGTCTCCTTCAATCTCCACCTTCGCCTTGCTGGCTGTATCCCGGCCCCAATGCACTTTATCAAGATAATACCCCACAACAACCCGACACCGTCCACATCGTAATAGGATACGTTTCTCAATTCCGTCTTCGCGGCGTATTAGTGTTGCGCGGCGGTCGGGGATTGTTGTTGAGAGGAGGACGGTTGTGTGTTTCGTTGTTGTGGAGGGATCGGTTTCTTGGGGGACGTCTTGGGAGAGTTTTGATTCTAGGGGCAGGATTATGGCTTTGTCTTTGCTTTCGCCTGTTCGGCGGGGGAGGGTGTTTAGGGTGCGTGTTGTTGCTAGTAAGAGGTGGTTGCAGAAGCGGCAGTGTTGGGTGAGGATTTTGTGGCGGGGGATGTCGGTGGTGGTGGTGGGTGAGTCGGACATTGTGGTGGGTAGATTGGATTTAGAGGTAGGGCGAGTGATATGGGATGGAAGGGAATATATTCCAGGTTTGAGAGGGTTCAATGTCGAGCTCGTTGGTGGTGTTGGAGCTTGTTGAGGTTGAGATTGAGGTTTGAGCTTCGAGCTTTGCGCTTGGGTGTGGTGTTGCGCTGTGGAGGCGGAGGCGGAGTGGTGAGGATGGGATGGGCCGAGCCTGGGGATTCAGGTTTATTCGTCTGTGGTATTGCGCAGGAGCCGAATAGCGTCCTGCTTGTTGCAAGTGAGGAATTGGGGTGGAGGTGAGTTAAAGATTTGGTGATTGGTGGGGAGTTTAGGGTTGAGAGCGGTGACTCCGAGTCTTTTTACATTTTACATGCGATATCATTTCGTCTACTACAGGTATTCTTTTCTTCAAGGATCCATATGTGATATTCCTAGGAAATTACAAAACTTACATCGCTCAAAGAGAGACTAGTCATTTCTACACATACAATGTCCACTTCTTATGAAGAATCATCCGATCAAAGACCCATGGTATCTCCGGCCAACCTGATGCGTCAAAAATCATTCTGTACTCATGGGTCTCTACTAGTAAATAGCAATTATTCCATTTATTTTCTTCATTCATATTAAAGCCCAATTGATATTAAATCGCAGAGCTCCGCTCATTCTTTTTCAAGTATGTGTCAACATTCACCAGCTCCACCAAATCGGAATCTTGACGAGATAGAGGCTCCTGACTAGAGGATGCCTTGATATTCCCCCCAATTGAGAGAATTTTGGGGCAGGTAGGACGCTGTAGCCCCTGATTTCCATCAGAGATTTCTGATTCGACCTGATGCGAGTTTTGAATGCCAAAACAGGTATAGAGGAAGCGATTAAACAACCGGCGAATTGCCGGCATGCTGACACAGATAACTGCTGTGTAGCTTTCGATGAGTGACCAATATGCAACTGGTACATAATCATCTGTGGCCATACATCAGCAAGTTTGATCATCTTAATCTCCAGCCTTGAAGGATATCTCATACAGGTTGCATTGGTTGTATGGGCAAATGTCACCACTGACTTGAGGCGAATGATGCTTACAATGGTGATGCTGAAATTGTCCAAATTTTGTCAGTAGTCAATTCGCCCAGCTGGTAAAGTTGACTCACAAAAATCCCGTGCAAAACATAAGCATGACTAAAAGCTTCTTCATTGGCCTAAGGTTCAGCTTCATGATCTCATGGAGAGGTAAGGCCATGACTGTCACATCGAGAACGATATTGATCACTGCGCACGCAATCCCAAAGCTATTGAAATCGAGACAATTACCCGTGGTCTCACCTGTCCAGGAGGTCCAAATGTAAGACACAGGTAAACAGTTGAAACAAACTCCGAAGAAAAAGGCGAAGAGAAAAGCGACCACTATTCCCATCACGATGTATATCGCATTTCGAAGGCCGAAATTCGGGAAAATATTGAGATAGAGATTGAGGAAGGCCATCTTGATAGAGGTAATGGCGCCAACATAGAGCATCTCGACAATCCAATTGTACTAGAGATAATTGTGAGTTTTCGTAAGAAGTGTTAGATGCTACGTGGACGGACCTTCAGGATAAGGGTAATATTTGAGAAAGATATTGTCCAGATATCTCGTCCGTAACCGGCATCAATCACTTGATTCGAAAAATTAGTACCTGGAAGTAATGTTCATCGACAACTGCGGAATACTCACTGAAAAATTCCAGTATACCCATCCCACAACTAAAAAGCTACGAGAGTCAACAGAAGCCATCATGATTGCTTGCGGATAAGTTCTTACTAGTCCAAATATCACAAAAATGTCTTCTAGACCAAAATGTTTGCGGAACTCTAGACTTCGAATAATGGTTGCAACAATTGCTAACCCCCCAAACACCGAATTTGTGATGGTGATGACATTGGCCTTGTTGCGGATTGGGCTATGGCACATGGTACTCGTAGTGTTTGCCGTAGCTTAGTTGATAGATCAGCAAAGTTGATCATGTTTTCCCGGTCCTAAAATGAGTGGTATCATACTTAGACTATCCTTGACGGTGCAGGTCATTTGCACACAAGCTGTCAAATTGGCTTGCAGCGAGGCATCTGCGCAGATACAAGTGGTATTGGTCAAAGTGCAGAGCGAATCTTCGATTCCAATAGCCATGCACTCTAGCTAAAGTAGAATATTAGCACAATTCAAAGCCAGGGACTAGAATTAATCTCACTGCGCAGGATGGCATATCTGATGCTTTAGCTATTGCTGCCCAAAGCAGCACGATGGGAACAATTGTCCCCTTTCTGTGGCATCGCATGTTTATTGTCGCTAGATGTAAGTAGTCATCGCCGTAAGGAAGAGAAGAGAAATCTGCCCACTACTGGTACATATTCGTGCGGGCAACACCCATGGATCCACGGACGACGCCAGGATCACGTACTAATCAATCATGCATTTTGGTCTTTTGGCCCCATCTTAGCCTGACAGGGATATGTCCGCCCTAATATTGTTGTCTCGGTCATTCTTTGCGCCTTGGATGAACCTTCAAGCTATGTACTCGACCAAAACACTCATACATATCGATTATACGATTTGGATTTCACAAGACTGTTCCTTATCAAGTTTTGGGCGTATGAAGCGTGCCATTTTTGCCGTTTATTTCCATGAAATTTCGCAAGACTCGCCACTCAAGACACTAGCCCCCACTAAGTAGGGGCCGACTCAGCCAAGCGTTCCTGGCCTCTCAGTAAAAGCGAACCGGCTAAATTAATGCAGAAGAACCATGTAGCCCAGCCTAAATGGTGTGTTTCAGGGGTCAGACTTAACCTGTCATGGCGTTTTATCTTGATACTAGTACTCCGTACCCGGGGGGGGGATAGCTGAGTCTATATGTGGCCCCCGTCCCACTACAGGGCACCCATACCGGAAGCACACGTACACAGCCTCAAACTTTGTTCGCACATCGATCCTTAGCCACGAGGTTTTCTTCCCAGAAACGGCAATAAATGGCTATTTCCAATTGGGTATCAAAAATAGGCAGCGATCTGTATATGGTGTCAGTATAAGAGATAAAAGGACAAGAGAGGTCAACAGGCATCACGCTCAAGATCTGGTTGCAGAGAGTGTGGTAATGTGGCACTACGTGTAAAAGGGCAATGTTGGGATACTCTAATTAATTCTGGTTACTGAAATATTACAGCGGATAGCCAATAACAACGCGCTATTACGTATACACTAGTAATCGCGCTAATTGTGCTTCCTGGGGCCGGATGAGGGGATAACGATACTCGCTTGGATACAAAGGATGATCCAATTCAATCAGAGCCAATAGATTACTACGAATGCGCACATCGAGTGTGGGCCCACTTATAAAAGATACTCGTACTCGGGTCAAACCTGACATGGGTTGAAAACTCTCTGTCCTCCAGTCTATTATCTACCAGTTGTTCGGATTCACGATGGGAAATTTCGAAATATTCGACTGGAAACTAACATTCTACGACCTGCTGTATGGCCTCGGCCTTTTGCTTGTTACCTATTGGACTGGATGGATTGTTTATACGCGGGTGTTCCACCCACTCGCCCGATTTCCAGGTCCATTCTGGGCCTCTGTGTCACGAGCCTGGATCGTGCGCTCCATGATTCGCGGCAATCCCCACGAAACCCAAAGGTTGCTGCATGCACGGTATGGTACGATATTATCTACCTAATTCAAGCTTGTGCTCTTTTAAGCGTTGTTTACCAGGCCATGTTGTGCGAATTGCCCCAAATGAGCTTTCGATAAGCGACCCCGAGGCCATCAAAATCATTTATGGGGTGAATTCAGGCTTTATAAAGGTCAGCGAATAAGAAGAGAAAAGAGGAGAAAAGAAATGCCGTTGGATTCAAGAAAGGAAACTGACTTTTTCGGTAGAGCGATTTCTATCTGGCTTTTCGCGCACCCTATAGTGAGATATTTCTTCAGGAGTATGAGAATTGTTGACCAGAACTAAGATAACTTGCTCAATAGCCCGATATCCAGATCATTTTACATCAACAGATGAAAAAGTCCATGCTCAGCGGCGCCGCATCGTGAATGGTGTGTATACTATGCAGAGCATTCTTCAGTCAGAGCCCTACGTCAATAAATGCACGGAAGTTTTACTACAGCAACTTGAAGATGTTGTAGACGCCAAAGCTTCCATTGACCTGCTCGAGTGGACACGAATGTTAGAAATACTATTAAGTTTATTATTATCGATATCTAACAGCAGAGTAGGTACGCTTACGATGTTATTGGCGAGCTTTACTTTAGCAAAATGTTCGGTCTAATGAAAGCAAGAGGCGACCATCTTGGGATAATGAAGTCCACTGATACAATGATCCCCGCCATGGCAATCTCAGCTGTCATGCCATCATACCTCCGATCCTTTTTCATGTTTGTTGGGGTGTTATTTGCCGAGACCCGCAAGGCCCTGTCTGCCTTGAATGACCTAGCGACCGCAGCGGACTCTGCTGTTCAGAGTCATGTTCAAGCCTCGAGCTCTGATGACAGTGTGATTCGCCGTACTGACATTATATCGAAAGTATTTAACATTCATCGAGATCAAGGTGAGAAGGTTGATTTCCAGATCGATGATGTGAAGCTTGAGGCCTTCGGAGGATAGTGAGTTTGATTTATACCCGGAGCAAGAATCGAGAATTGGAACTAAAAGCTTTTTAGTTTTGCTGGGAGCGATACAACAGCAATTCACCTGTCCACGACTTTATACTATATCTTGAAGAACCCGGGAGTCTACGCAGCCCTCAACAACGAGATTGCTCAGGCCACACAGCGTGGCGAATTGAGCTTTCCGCATATATCGTACCACGAAGCGAGCAAACTGCCTTATTTGAGCGCGTGTATTAAGGAGGGCGCTCGTTTCCATCCTAGTGTGGCACTTACAATGCCTCGAAAAGTACCATCAAATGGTCGCAGTATTTCGGGGCAGTGGATTCCTGGCGGAGTCCGTGTGGGAATTAATCCGACTGTCGTGCAACTTGACAAAACAGTCTTTGGAGACGATGCGGAGGAATACAACCCGGATCGATGGCTGAAGCCAGATGCTGATAAGATGAATAAATACATTCTCCAGGTAAGTTAGTCCAACTAAAGCTTAAAGCGTGTGTTGACCGTCTTGGTTACAGTTTGGAGCTGGGTCAAGAATGTGCATGGGAAAGAATGTAAGTGCAATTACTCTGCCATAAAGTCAAGGCTCCATGTTGACCGTTGATCAGATATCGCTGTGCGAACTTTATAAGGTCATCCCAGAGCTGCTTCGTTCGTACCGCCTTGAATTATCAAGCCCAGAGAAGGATCTAGAGACCAGCGGGTTTTGGTTCTACAAGCCAGAGCCCATGTACATCCGCGTCTATCGAAAGTAGTGAAGATGGCATGTTAAATCGTCTGGGAAAACCAACTGACCACTCTGACTTAGGGGGGCCAATTTCTTACACTCATCGGCTCGTGATTCTCAATTGTTGATCCCAATTTTATTTATGATCCGCACGCACATGTGGAACCATGTTATAGCACGTCCCTACAGTCATGACTGCATCTCTTCACTTTTGTGAGAAGCTCAATAAGCTATATGCTCAGCCGCCAGGGAAGCATCCTTATTAGGCAAATAGTATGGACAGTCTTGGGTACCCATTTGGAATCTCCACCATGGGAGATAATCTCAAATTCGTAGAATTTACTAATAGCAAGGCCTCTTGTAATAGTAATAAGTAATGTTCTTTCACGTCAGCTAAATTTCATCCCCTACGCTTGTCATTTAAGATAAGTTATTTTATGTGTTGTACTAGAACTATAGAATAATGGCGATTTGAGATCAAGATCAAGCTAGTAAATAGATCAATGTATATACTAGATACTGGAACCTTTAGAAGAATGGGTTGCGATTAAAGGTCCCGACGTCATCAAGTTGACTCTAACAAAAAGGAATGATGAAGAGACTTCTATACGCTCAGACACTTAGCTCCAGTGCGATTTACCCCCTTCCCCTATTTACACAGCCGACCAAAGTCCCTGAAGCTATTATGCCTCTATAGAGAACTACAACGGCACTGGAGCATAACTATTACGTCCTCCGTGCTTTGTGCAGAGTTCTGCTGGCGGAATTTTTCACGCGTAGGCTCAATATTGCGTCTACCCGGCTTGGAAAGTCCTACAGTCTTACCGGCATATTACTTCGAGCAAAACTTCCGATCGACGGTCGGGATTGTTGATAATCACGCTACCTAACCATATTCAGTCAATGGTCGCCGGCCTTTACTAGTGTTGTAGCAATTTATCCCAAGGTTGCTTTCACCCCAGGGCTGATGTTTAATTTTCTTGTTTCGAGCTTGTATAATATTTAGTTCAATGCCCCGTGGCGCTTCCTGATCCTAACCGAGCAGTTAGAAACAGAGACAGAACTTGAAACTTTTTAACAATACTTATTGTTGGTACTGATAATGAGAAAGCCGAGAGCAATAACCTTATAATAAGCGGCAATTCCGGCCGCAATTTCCTTATCTCGGAACGACGCTTGGGATTTCCGAGTAGGGCGTGCAAAGGGGTCTTTGCTTAGATCTCGCGTGGCTTATGTCCCACCCCCGATAAGCTCCCCCGCAAGTGCCCCCAACTTGGAGGCCCTCATCCCCGGAACACGCCGTCAGCTCGCTTCCCCGCACAGACGCCACACGTTGCATCGCTTGCCCAAGCGCTGGAAATCGCCAGGCCATAGAACGTAAGATTTCTCTTAGCTTGCTCATCATTCTGCTAGGTTAGTGGTGCTAATGTCTTCACAAACGACTAGTGCGAGCTTCTTGCCGGCAGGCAGGACCGGTCATGCTTGTGTGCAATGCCGACAGAGGTGCGTGTCCTTAATGCAGGAACAGCTTTATCGTTCGCTCATATCTTCCATAGGAAGCAAAAATGTGGAGGCTTCACCTATGGAATCAAGTGTCGACCATGCACCACTCGCAAAGTCAAATGTAGCTTCGATGAAGAGGTCAAGGACCCACGACACTACCCATATCTCCGTCTACGATCGTCTAAGTCACCCCCTATTCGACGAGAAGGAACCTTTGCGCGGAATGAGACTGAAGATACCGGCATGATGGCCCGGACATCGTTGTCCCTGAGCCCCCTGCAAAGTGACCCCATATCCACATCATTACCAACGGCGGTTGTCAATGAGACGGCTTCCTCAAATGATGACGGTCTGCTGCAACAAGTGGAAATGTTGAAATCACGGCAAGTGTTCCTTGTGACGATCTTCGATCATATTGCTAATTGATATTCTAGTCTCGCTGAGCTAGAGAAACGCTTTACTAATACCCAACACGACCGTTCTGACAGCATGAACACCCCGCGGTCTCTTGCTGCCGCATCACTTCGAAGGCCCTCGGAACCTTCTCAACCACAAGGATTTTATCGGTCGCCTCCTTCAAATTACATCAACGTGGGATCTTTCTCAAATTCGGATACCCACAGCTTGTGTAGTCCGCAAGCTCCCGCTACCACCGATGGACCCTTGAAAACTCTCAATAACTTCCAAGAGGAAGAAACTGTTGAGGTCGAAACGCATGATCCTATCACGAGATCGAACATAACGGAAGGAGAGGCATATGTATTGCTGAGACTGCAGGTATCCCAATCATTCTGGCTACAAAGAATGAGGCTTACCGTGACAGTTATTTCTCGAGCTGTCATCCAAATGCGCCATTCCTCGATATCGGCTTCGATTCGGATGTTGAAAGACTACGTTCTGACAGTACGCTGCTTTTCCTTACCATACTATCCATCGGCGCGCGCTTCTGGAGTGCCTCGTCTAAGTATTAAGTTTTCCACGGCGAGTATAAGCTTTGACTAATGCAGTGCAGGTCCGCATGCTGGTTACATCCCCGATATGCCGACATAGTTCGACTTCTTGATGCGGAGCTGATGCGAGTCACATTGCGACCCCGACCGGATGATCAGAAACTAGAGACCGTTCAAGCACTTCTACTCTGCGCACACTGGATGCCATTCGATGTCTCCGACACGGGGAAACGATTCAGATCTAGGTTTTCCGAAATGGGTGCATGGCAATGTCTGGGGTTAGCCATTAGATGGGCCACGTCTCTTGCCCTGGAGCGAAGCTGCTATTTGAGCTTTCAGCAACCACAGACCGCAACCCGGTTAGACGTACGGCGCTTTCGGACAATGTTATATCTTGTCGAGAGTGATCATTAGTAAGGAACTCGGCAGATGAATTTTGTACTTTGCTAATTTCTCTCTAGTCTCGCATTATCTGCCCGAAGACCATCCTACCTCAATCCCACTCCGCTGAAAGAAGTGCTCGAGAATTTCCTCCGTGCCGAATTTGTCCAGACCACAGACATCCGGCTAGCATCGCTATTCAAAGTAGCCTGTGGTGCCCACTCCACTGGGTGCCGACCATCGACCATCGAAAGTGTTGAGGCGTTTGACAAAGATGTGGAATTAATCGAGCGACAATTCCTGTCGAGCCTAGGGAACAGATCAATAGACGCTCTCAGTCAACATTTTCCGTTCACCTCGCTTCGATGGTATCGGCTTTCATACGTTTGTGCATTCCTTGACGCTACCGATATAACTCAACGAACAGGGGAAGCCTTGACTTGGGCAATTGATTGGGCTAGTCAGATTCTATTTCACCTCTCAAGACCCCGATATACGAGGGCTGATAGTGGCACACCGGAAAATATTCAGCTGGAGCCTGATTCGAGTGTCATTGACGTGATGTCTTTTGCGATTGATCATTATTTCGTGGTAATTGCCTACGCCTCCTTCGTGCTGGTCAACAGTTGGCTTAGTAACTTGATGGACTGTGAGTGACTCCCTAAATGCGAACGGTAAAGAATAATGACTGATAGACCTACGCAGTCAACCTCCGACCACATATCATGCGAACGGATGGTGCTCTTAGCGAAACAGCTTCGACATCTCTCCTCTTCCGCCTTGTTGATGTCGCAGCTCGTACCCTGGAAGCGGCCAGTCCTTCCGAAGGCCATCTGGCCCGCCGATATGTCCCTCTGCTTCGGGGAATGGCGGGTATAATCTCCTCCAGCGAAACGCAGATCCACAGTTCCAATTGTGATAATATGAGCATGGCGACGGGCACCCTGGATCCATCCGAACAATTGCAAAGCAATTTGGGAGGAGACTTGTGGGAAATGTGGCAACAAGCGGGGCTAGAACCAGTTATCTGGCCGGGGCCCCTGGATGGTGTTTACAACGCATGATAATGGGAATGTACGAATAGTTTGAACCTTCTGTATAGCATATCGGCGGTGCTGGCCGCCAGATTCTTCCATATAGGGCAAATAGATATCGGTGTGGGGACTATGGAATGCGGGGAAGCGGTCATAGTCCGATATCTCCGAGTCGTATCGGGGAAGCCGATGGGCTATCACTGGGGCCCACGAGGTGTTTGGCTCGGTTCCTAAAAACACGGCCACTGGAGAATAGAATACAGAGACGAAGATAAGGAGCCTGCTCAAAGGCGAATACGTCATCACAGAATTGAGAGGAGGTCAATGAATATCTGGCCTATCTATACATAGGTAACCATCTAAATCGAGGACAATAACCCTGGCAATAAAAATTTGGTACATAGTACAACCTCTTACTTTCTTCCAGCCTCAACCATCTCACCAAGCTTGAGCTGCGTCAGAATTGAGAGCTCATCATACACGTTCCACTCATCAACGATCTTTCCGTTGCGATAGTGATAATGAGTCATGCCCATGACCTGCAAACGCCGTCCAGTAGGCTTTCCGAGCTCACTAAGGATACCGAATCCCAGATGGTGACCCTCCATTATCCAACGTACGGCAACCTTGACGCCTCCCTCTTCGCACGGGGTGGATAAAATATGCTGAGGCATATAGGCCGCATCGGGGATAGAGCCAACAAGGCCAAGGTGCTGGTGCAAGACAGCCGCAGGACCGTACAGCTCACTCATCTTGGGGCCGTGATACTGCGTATTTGGAGCATAGACCTTCTCGATACGTCCAAACATGCGGCAGTTGAATACATCATGTAACCACTCCAAAGTCTCCTTTTCAATCTCATTGTTGGCGATCGAAGTGTCGCATTTTGTTTCCGGAGGCTGCTGTCCAAGGATACGGCGATTCTCGCCAATATCGATGTTCTCGAGACCCTTGTCGAAGAGGGCCTTCGCAGCGTCATATGCGAAAGTGTGCGGGTCGAGTCCGAGTTGCTTGATGATTGCCATGTTATCGGCCACAACCCACTCGCGGTAGATCTTGTTGCGATAAATCATGCAGTCTGCAATGGTGCGCGAGACAAATGTCTTGCCGGTTGCGGGGCCAAAGTGACCGTACTGAGTGTGTCGACCGGCTCCAGTGACCAGGTGGGAGGTGTAGAATCCTTCCTTGTCGTCGCCATTCCAGAGGACTTGTGTTGCCATGCCGCGGCGCTCGGGCAGGGAGACTAGTCGTTGAATGGTATCGCGAACGACGGACTCGCGATCATAAACTGTGCCCATCGTTCCATACAGCACGCAGTTGTGAGTATAGTGAGTGTAGATAAGACCGATATCTCGCTCGTCCCAAATGCGATGCGTGCAACGGACGATGTAGTCGACGATATCGGTGTAGATGTCGTCGAAGCCTTCCATGGAATGGGCGCGTGCTCGCTTGGTGGGTGCAAGATCGGGATAGTCATGACGCTCTACTTGGAGAGCGGAAGAGGTTTCCTTGGATTGCTTGGATTGAGAATCTTGATGGAAGCCATTGTTAAGGGCAGACTCGCCCTCTGCGATGGTGGATGGAGCCATGGTGATAGTATAGAGTCGTGTTGGATGTGAGGGAGATCGTATTTTGGAAGCAAGATCCGGTGCCTCTTTATGATCATCAAGACGAAACGAGGCATTTTGCGAATGTGGGGTAAATATTGATCGTCTGATAGTGTAGGGCGTGTTTATTCAATGCAACTCTGGTACATCGGGTTCGCCGTCGGTGATATCGGCGACGCCCGGGAAACCCGAAGGCTTGAGCGCGTCGCACTAGTCTTTGATCAGAATGTCTACCTATGTGTTAGATTGAAGGATGACATACCGATCATTATTTGTGAACTTTTATCGGGCAAAAGCTATGGCCCGAAAAATTAAATCATGCCCTCAGGGCCGGGCATAATAACTACCCAGTAGCAACTATTAACTATGGATTCCTTGTTTGGACATCGATTTAAAAAAGATATAACCTTTCGAATCTGAAACCCCATAGTGGATTATGTATCAGTAGCAGATCCCAGACAATGCAAAGGTACAAATTTTGAATCCGAATTCGTATTAATGTGATTGAAAACTGCATAATCTCGTTCGAACATGAGTTATATGAAGCCGTTTCATACTGAGATCATTCCTTGCCGAGTCGTTCCTTACCAAATTATTTCCGCAGTATACTACACATGAGAAGTATCCCTGGTGTTAAGAGAGTCATTCTTTGTGCCATATGCGAACGAGGCACTATCATCTGAGGATGTCTCGGCACTCTTGAACTGAACTTGAATCTCCTCTTCTATAGGCGCAACAGCACGGCCAGCTGCATCATGCGTAGCATCCCATTCGGCAAGTTTCTCGTTGGGAACCTTTCTGAGCTGATTGCTTTGAGCTCCATCATCCAAATGGATGAGTTCCTGTCGCAATTTGTAGCCCTGCCATTTCGGAAGTAAGAAGGCCCACAACCAGTAATAAGCGCCACATGCAAGAAGACTATATTGTCTTATTAGCAAAGAAGATCTCAATAGTTCGCGCCAAATTTTTGTCGATTGACTTACATTCCGATGCCGACCACGGCATATGTTGCATACCAAAAGCTGACATCTCCAGCATACTGACCTCCCGACGGGGATACCAGGGCATGACTAGAAGGTATAACTGAACGAGAATATTGAAAAATATAACAATATTCCAGGCTTTGAACTCGGGCTCAGGAAGATTTGCCTTCTTTCGGCGCCAGCGCACAACGTAGATACCAAGAGCCATTGCCAGGTTAAAGACAGCATCGGGAATGGTGCGTAAATCATTGACTAGTATAAAGTTAGTTTTGTCCGGGCGCATGATTGGGTTTGAAGACGTATTGCAGCCAAAACATACCGAATGTGAAAGCGTCTCCAGCAGGGACTGCTAGAATCATCAGTGCAGTCAAAGACCAAATGACAGCATATGGGCCTAGGGTAGTGCCGAAGGGCTTAGTTGAAACCCAAAACCAAGTCCAAGGTAGAACGCCCTGCCGGCCACATTCTCTCAGCCGCCGAGAGAGGCCAATTATCACAGCGATCATATTGCCGAATGAGGCCAGGGCGATGAGGAAGTTGAGGCCACGAACTGCGCCACTATCACCAAACACCTTTGAAAAGAACAAGCTAGCAGTCGTCAAATCAGAGTTTTCTAGCTCTTCCTTCGGGACTAATAAACCAATTTTCGATTAGTGACACGAGCTAAGTGAAGAAAGGACAGCCTAGCACTTACCAGCAGCAAAGAATGCGATATTTGCAAACATGTACAGAACATAAACTGTTGTAAGAGCAGCCGTTGCGTATCTCTTGAGAGACCTGACGGGATTCTTTTAATCATGTTAGCTCTTACTAAAAAGTCTCAAGACCTCCTAGTGATCATACCTTGACTTCATTTGCAACATTGAAGGCATTGTTGTACCCACCATATGAAAAGATGATTCGATACAAGGCGGTGGTAAAGCCATACGCTGTAGCTGTAGAGCTCCCTGAAAACGGATCTTGAAAATTTGCTGTTGGGTTCTCAACCCTGGTATTTCCTCCCAAGACAACAAAACCGGTGACGATGATGAAGAGGATGGTGCAAATTTTGACAATTCCGACCGCATTCGAGAACCAGTAGGCGTATTTTGTGTTGAAAACCAGTGCTAATCCATGTTAGTACGCGGGTCAGCGAATTTAAAGAATGAGAGAAACACACTCAAGGTAGCAAGGCTGTAGCAGGCTAATGCCGTGCCTTTGATCTGCCAATTAGTGCCGGTGTGTCCGGAAATGGCGATTAGATACTTGGCCATTACTATTAGAATTACTAATTAGTGACAGGACTCAGGCCGGTAAAAACAGATCGTCTTACCTGTGGCATTGGCACTTCCGAATGAAAGGATGACACTTTGGACCGCAAAGGTAGTCGGGAAGAGCCATCTTGGTATTGGGTACGCTTGTTCCAGGAATACAACTTCCGACCCGGATCGACTAGGAAAGTACGCTGTAAATTCGAGATAGACGGCCCCCAAGGTCAAGCAGAGCTAGTAAAAGAAACGGAATCTTCTTAGTCGGCGCTCCTTTCGGTTGATGTATGAAACGTACCAGATAACCCAAAGTCCACCAAATCAGACTGACACCGATTGAGCCTGTTCCGGACAGGATCGATGATGCTGGGTCATGTTAGTCGACATGGGGGCAGATGGAATGTTTGTGTCACACGAACGTGTTGAATAGATACCAGCGCCAATCATCATTGTGATATTCAGCAATGTGATTGTCACTGGGCCGACAGAGTACCCCAGCGGTGACTGGCTTTCGATTGGAGCACCAGAAGCGTCTTGATATGTGGGCGGCGCATTGTTGCCTCCTCTTTCGCTGATATACTGGCCTGCAGTGGTTGAGACATGCTCAACTTGCCCTCCAGTCACATTTCCATCCCCCGATGGCCGTTTACTAAAAGGTTGTCGCCAGGCCATCGCAGTTAAGGATCATGAGACCGTGCAAAGTAGCGTAGTCCAGTCAAGCCGAGGCTATGTGTGACTAGCAATTGGCAAAGACGGAGGGATTAGGCAAATTGGAATCTTCCAAGGCTCCAAGGCTGGAAGAGTTGTCAGTCCCACTAGTAAATAGAATCAAAGATGGTCGCACCATAACCTGGGAACTAAGGTTGTATATCACTTTGCAGGCACCGAAGAGATTATATTGCCGACTTGCCGCATGTCCATTTATGCATTCCTTCCGATCGTAGTTCAATCGCGTTTTTCTAATTTGATTCGTTTTCTTGGCATTATTACATATTTATCATCTCATTCAGTACATACGCCTTGCCCAAATTTAAAACGGAGGTTTTCTAACGAACAACCATTCCATCATTGGAGGGGCTGATGGTACAACCACGACATTGGAATGAGCGGGACCGATTGGCCAGGCTCATAATCAAAGTCACGTAGGGAGTAACTACGGATAAATAGGAAATAGGTTCTGTCGTCTAGAGCTG